TAATCCAACAAATATGAGAGGATTGGTTGGGTGTGTGTGTGTGTGTGTGGTGGTGGTGGTGGGGGTGGTGGGCTAACGATTTGAGGATGTGGGTGCCTTCAGTAGTTTGTCATCTCGCATGGACGCTATTGCTCATCCGAGCATCTCAGTGCGGGCGAGGGATGGAGGCAAGAGGCGTGGAGAAGGTGCGGCGACGCCACCATCATCGCCTCTCCACGCTGGATCCGCTGCAGTACAACAAGCGAGGAAGGCAAGTCGCCGCATCGACGCTTTTACACCGCTGTCGGCCGCCACATTCGCGAACACCGGCGTGGGGGACGTGATGGTCGGGCGACGATGGAGGATTTGAGGCGTCGGCGCCGATCGGGCTCGAGACGGTGTCTTCTGCGTAGGGGCCTCGGCGGCGGCGGAGCAAGAAGTGTCGAGATGGTGGGGACGGGTGTCTTTGCTTGCGGTGACCACGGACAACCACACCCACGGGCTAGGAGCCACCGCCAGATCCCCGCCGCCGCTTTGTCGCGAGGAGGGGCCACCCACCGTGCAGTTAGCAGGTATCGCCCACTCATCGGCGACCGCGATTTAAGCCCGCTCTAGTGACCCTGCAAGCGAAGTGTGGAGTGGAGAGCAGGGGTGGGGGCGGCGGTCCGGCGGAGGAGGCGCAGGGGAGAGGGGACGAGCGTCGCCCACGAAGCTTCGTCATGGCTCCGGTAAAGGCCTGGATTGAGGGTTGATTTTGGAAAAGTTCGAGGGCTTTTTTGAAAAAAAACCTGAGAGGAGGTCTGGACTGCGGGTTGATTCGACAAACGCTCGAGGTTTTTTTTGAAAAAAGACCGCGGCTCGCCCGATCTAGGCCGTCCACGCGCCCGATCGAACGGCCGGGAAAAGCACGCGACGTGGCACGCTGGCTGGCCAGCTTTTGGAGGCAGGATTCATATGGTAAGATGCTTGTGTAGTATATGCTAGTTGTAGAATTGAATAATGAAATGAAAAACTAGCATGCATAGGTTAAGAAACTAGACCCTTGCTTCTAATGTTGATCTTATAGGGTATTCTAGTTTTTGTGTATGTCTAGTTACTAATGGTGCTAAGGATAGTATATTGGTGCACTTCGATTGATATCACGCTTCAAAGGTCCATCTCTTATACCTTAGCATCATTTGATAGACATTATCTCCTATATTTCCTATCTAAGCATATGTGTAAGCTACAATCCAAACTCTTAGCACATATATAGGGGGAGCAATTGCTACCATTCAGGGTTCATGAAACTTGTCCATATCCTTTTACACATGGTAAATATGCTTGGGCAAGCAACATGGATTCAATTAAATTTCAATTCATATCTTTGTGTAAGGGTTGTCATCAATTACCAAAAAGGGAGAGATTGAAAGCTCTAGTTTGGTTTTAGTGAATTGATGAAACCCTAAGTGCTAACATAGTTCATCTAAGTGATCATGAGATAGGTAGCATTATTCCAAATGGTGAAGCAACGGTAAAGATCATGATGATGGTGATACCATGGTGATGATCAAGTGCTTGGACTTAGAAAAGAAGAAAGAGAAAAACAAAAAGCTTAAGGCAAAGGTGAAATTGATAGGAGCTTTTCGGTTTAGTGATCGAGACACTTAGCGAGTGTGATCACATTTAGGATCGATAACCATACTATTAAGAGGGGTGAAACTCGTATCGAAATGCGGTTATCAAAGTGTCACTAGATGCTCTAACTCATTGCATATGCATTTAGGATCTAGTGGAGTGTTAACACTCTTGAAAACATTTGTAAAAATATGCTAACACATGTGCACAAGGTGATACACTTGGTGGATGGCACATTTGAGCAAGGGTGGAGAAGTTGGTGAAGTGAAGGAGGTGATAGTCACTGAAAAACAATGACCGGATGCCGGTTACGTGATGACCGGACTCAGGGGAGCAGCGTCCTGTCATTTATAAAATTAGCGGTGTGCTTAGACTACTCTCGGCCTGAGACCGGACTCAGGCGACCGGACTCTAGCTGAATACTGTTCAGCGTCTGGTCCTGCTGATGTGGCGGCACACAGAGAAGAGGAGGAGGAGCGAACGCACCAGCGCGTTCGGTCATGGTGGACCGGACGCGTCCGGTCAAAAAAACCGGCTCTGGTGTCTTACTAGAAATGACCGGACTCCAGTGATGGAGCATCCGATCACTTTGAGTAGTGCGTCCGGTCGCAACTTAACACATGGCATGAAGCAGACTAGCCGTTAAGATTGGGTGCTCAGCATATGAGGCTGATGACACGTGGCGAGCATCGGACGACCGGACGCTGGGGTCCTGCATCCGGTCAGCCCATGTTTCACTAGACGGAGGAGCCAATGGCTCTATTCGTTGGGGCTCTCTATTTAAGCCCTATGACCGGCTCAAACTCACTCTCTTGGCCATTTGCATTGATATAGCAACCTTGTGAGCTTAGCCAAAGTCCTCCCACTCATTTCCATCATTGATTCATTATATTTATGATATTAGGAGTAAATCTAAGTGCATTGCTTGAGTGTTTGTATCTAGAGACACTTCGTGTTCGTGTTTCGCTGCGGGATTCGCTTGTTACTCTTGGTGGTTGTTGCCACCTAGATGGCTTGGAGCAGCAAGGATCGTCGAGCGGAGGTTGGTGATTGTCTCCGACTTCGATCGTGGTGATTGTGAGGGGTTCTTGACCTTTTTCCAGCGGAGAGCCAAAATGTACTCTAGTGGATTGCTCGTGGCTTGTGTGATCCTCATCTTTGTGTTGGTTGTGCGGCACCCTATTAAGGGTTTGGCGTGTGATGCCAATTAGCACGTGAAGCTCCAAGTGAGTGAATTAGCACAACGAGGACTAAGCTTGCCGGCAAGCAAGTGAACCTCGATAAAAAATCATTGTGTCATCATTTGATTTCGAAGTGATTGGTCTTCATTGGTATTTATTCTTGTGATTGATTGATTCATTCCTCAACTCGGCGGTATAACCATCTTGCTTTCTCTAGCACACTAACTTAGTGTAGTGACGTAGCTATTGTGTAGATAGAGACTATAGAAACTAGAATTATGATAGGTAGCTTGCATTTTTAGTAGGCTAGCGCAACACTCGTTTCGCCTCATATTTATCTAACTGGTTTGTTAAGTGTTGTTGTAGAAATTTTTAATATGCTATTTACCTCCCTCCCTCTAGCCATTAGGACCTATCAACGCACATGAGCTTCCTTTGTCCTCACACTAGACTTGAGAAAAGTGGAGAAGACTTCCATATTTAAGCATGACTAGCTCCATTTCCTCAAGCAAGGTGGGACTAAAGATTTTCACTTCCCTCTCTTGCTTGCATTAATGGGCCTTTGAGATTTTCTTAGAAATTTTAGAAATTCTATTGGGCCAAGTCCATTTATTCCAACAACAAATACCTAGGCAAGAGGTACCCTCGTCCTTTGGGTATTCGCGCTTGCGCCCCATCAAAAAGCACACTCAACCAAATTCTGATGCAGTCAAGCTCCCCATAGAGCTCGGCAAGGAAAGAGCTTAGCACCGGCAGAGCCCACTCTCAAAGTCCACACACGGAGGGAGAACGCTCGTGTGAAAACATACACTCCTCGTCTTAATAGAAAAATGGGCTTCAGTTCTAACTACTCCCTCTGTCCTATTGAAAGTATCGTTTTTTATTTTTAGATTTCTTGTTTGACCGTTCATCTTATTCAAAATTTTTGTATAAATATTATTTATTTTGTTATGACTTATTTTATCCTCAGAGATACTTTAATAATGATTTATTTATTTATTTTATTATTTGCATAAAAATTGGAATAAGACAAACGATCAAACAAGAAATTTAAAAGTCAAAAACGACACTTTCAATAGGACGGAGGGAGTAAGTTCTACCATAAAGTTTTAACACCCCAAATTTTCGGGCCATTACAAATTCAGTAGACCTTTTTCTGAAAGAAATGGTACTTTTAAACTATGTCGGAGTCCCTCTATATTATACTTCATCCATTTTAAATTATAAGATATTTTGATTTTTCTAGATATATTGTTTTTACTACGTATCTAGATATAATGTATATCTAAATGTATAGCAAAATTTATATAGGTAGAAAAGCCAAAATGTCTCATAATTTCGAATGTAAGATGCACTAAATTGCTAGAGGGAGTTAATGGACAATTATCAAAAGAGCGGTAGGTTTGAGGCGATTGACTCTTATACAGTCTCGCTTGGCTAGTATCCAATTTAACCTAACGTTAGTTATTTAAAGTTTCCTAAATGTATTGTCAAGGAAATTAATTTCCTAATGGCTCACTTTTTGATTTAGATAATAATAATAAATACCATCTTGCCAACTGGAAAGCAATGAGATTGCAAGCCTCCAATTACTTTGCTTGTTCTGGTAATTTTAAAACACATTTTCACTTGCGTTTGCTAGCAGCACAGCACTAGACCTTAACACATTCATACAGTGAGGCATCAAACAGAAGAAGCGGAGTATTATGATTAACAGAAGCAGCATAGTATCATGATTCACGCATTGTAAAGCAATCAAGCCACAAGAAAACCAACCAGGCAAATGTAAACAGGAGTTAACAAAGGCGCCAATTGTGGTAGCAAATTTCTTGCTGCTCCTCTGGTGTTGTGTCTCTGTACAAAAATGAACACTACACCTGCAGAGTCGTCGAACACTGCATCATCTCATCTGTAGTATCTTCTCATCTTTGCCTCCAGCCCCAAAAAAGCACCCATCCCGCGTGGAGGGTACTGCCATACTGGTACAGCTCACCAACTTGGTTTGCATTGGTAATCTGGTATCAGGTTAGAGCATCTAATCTATGAATCTATCTCCTATACAGCCAGTGATATGTATCACCCCAGACTCTCTTCTCTCTTGGATCAACTATATTGTAGCCGGCCTCTGGTTAGTCACTACTCTGTTTTTTTTTCTTTTTCATTGTCACTACAGTCAAGAGGGAAGCAGAACAGCCCCTGTTCTTCATATCACAACCGCCTAGCCTAGGTGCACCGAGACAGGAAGAACTCGTAATCTGGATGGTGGTTCACAGACTCCCCACTTCCCTTTGGGACAACAGCTCTTGCCATGGCCAACGCACCCATCTTCAGCGTCCTCAGCCTCTCTTTATGAACTTCAGCAGGATCGGTTTTCGAAGAATCTTCTCTTGGCAGTTGCTTCAAATCTGGGCATCTCAGCTGAAACCACTGTTCTCCCTATATATAAACAAGAGATTTCAAATCAATCAGGTTATGCATAAAATCATCCCATTAATATGACCTCATCATCGAAAGCACAAAAAAAAAACATTGCCCACATATATATAACTGGAACACGTAGACCAAGCAATCACTAGAAATAAACTTCTACGAAGTGATTACTAATTTGGTTCCATCATTATCCCCTGGATTTTTCAGTTGAATTTAACAGCTATATGGACGATATGCTTAGGGATGCAAACATTTCCTCCTGTCATCAAGGAAAACATCGAGTCCAAATGGTACCTTGTCGTTGTAACTCTGGAGACCAACAACTGGTGAAACTACACGTGTATGCTCGTCATTCGTATCCAGAGAGCATTTTTGATGAACCAACTTTCCCAGCGAATGGTAAGTAAGAAATGCCGCACGGAAATTACCACGAGGCACACGATAAACAGGATACCAGGCCACACAGAACCTACAAATGAAATATATTGAACTTCACAAGAGACAGATAACCAAAAAAACTTTAATATTGATATCAGTACAAACTGAGGAAACACTAGTGAATAAAGCATTCAGGCTCAGGAACAAACCAGGAAGCTGGATGAAGCTCACATAATTTCGCATTTTGCAGTTTTTCAGGGTCCCCAAAAATCCGGTGGTCAGAAACGTTTGCACCACTAACAAGCTCCTTGATCCTACAGATTGCAGCCAGATATTAACACAGGAAAAGGATATACACAGCCAGGACAATAGATAGTAGCTACAATTTAATTAAGTAAAAGTCTTTCTTATTGTGGCACAAAGGGCATAATGAAAGACCACCAAAATGGAAACAGTACATCTCATGCCACATACTCCCTCCGTTCCAAATTATAAGACAGTTTTGGCTTTTCTAGATATATAGCTTTTGCTATGTACTTAGATATACACTATGTCTAGATCATAGTAAAGGCAATGTATCTAGAAAAGCCAAAACGTCTTATAATTTGAAAGAGGGAGTATTATGAGAGATTCATTAGCAGCTTATAAATCCCCAGTTCTAAGCTACTCACATGGGCACAAAGTTCTCTTGCTTTAGGCCATAATTCATAAACATCCTGATCAGCTGAACCAATACGATACCAGAAAAAGAAAGCCCTCATGGTCACTTCGTCGTGAAAAGTTCTATTGCTCACAAACTCACTGACAGTTTATAGAATACGGTTCATAACAGCATTGTTAAATTAATTGCCCTTTTCTAACAAAGAAAAAGATCGCGATCCTTTTGATTTGTGAACCCAGAAGCATTTTGAGAAAGAAATGAAATGACACCAGAAATATTTCACAAGAAACTGTCGGTGTCAGGAACTTAAAAAAGAAGTGGAACCAGTGGTCAAAACTCATAATGGAGGCCTGTGGACAACTTACTTTTCAAATAATGGAGGCCGAAAAGAAGGTTGCTCTGTTTCAAAGTACTCAAACATAAGTTTGCCATGATCTTCTACATCCAAAGATGACTCTGGCAAGCATGCATTACTTTCCTCAAACAGTGTATGCACCTCATTCACAGGATGAGAGCTCATAGAGCTTGAAGTATTTGATGCTTTCAGTAATTCCCTCCCTTGTACACCAAAACTGTGATTCATGTTATTCATAGACCACCCAAACAATTGAATAGCAGACAGATAAGGCACAAAGTATGCAAAGAACTCTGAATTGCTGTTGCGGGATGTTTTAGAGCTGAGATTGCTAAGAGCTTTTACTTCCAATCCATAGCACCCTGGCTCTTCATACCACTCCCATATTCTCTTTAAGGAAACATTAGAGATGTCATGCTGACAAACTGAGTTGCTAACTACTTGGTCCCATGAACAAGTGCTGCTTATCATGCAAGGTGCACGACCAATAACGGGAGTTGCGGAGTATATAAATGTCTCAAGATCAGAAATTGGATAACCAGCAGCAAGGAGAACATCTGCAGCAACCTGAACTTTATAGGCATCGTTTACAACCCTGATCGTCTGGGCTAGATGCGTTCTAGAGTTACAGAGCCCTTGACAGCCATGGTTCCCTTCAATAGATGAAACTGTACTACGTCCAACCATTAATTCAGTTGTCGATGACTCAGACCCTGCAATATTTTGAGTACAACATCATGTTAGATGCTACGACGCTTGCTGCAAGCAGTGTTACTTTCTTATCACAAGGTTTCATTATTAAGGAAAAAAAAGGAAGTGATGCAGGATCTAAAGATGGGAGTCATACTAGGTGATGATCGCCCAGAAATAGTTTCGCTGGCATCATCGGTTCGAACTGAATCCTGCAGTCTTCTTTTCTGCATGGGAAGAGCCCCTATTGTAATATCTGTTGATTCACCAGACTCTGAAGTACAATTTCCCTTTAAAGACTCCGGAGTTGTCGGTTCAGAAGAGGAAATTGATCTCGTCTCACAACGTACTGATTCTCTGCTGTTAAGAGCATTGGATAGTTCTCTGTTCAAATAAATCTGCTGTGCTGCCTTCTCAAAACCGGTAGCTGATTTTCCACAAGTTTTTTCTCTTGGACCTGTAAAATGATTGAGACTTGTTCCTAACTTGGAATCTTTAGCTGGAATTCCATATTGGGTCTCCCTACAAACATTGCTTGGCCTCTGCATGAAATTCTTGGTAGAGTTTTTCAGTGCAATTCCATGCTGAGGGTGTATCCTGCTAACATGATTTTGTCTATGGGACCAGTCGTTACTGTTGACTTCCTTGGTCATCTGCGTTGAAGAACGGCCAACATATTTTTTATTTCGATCAAGCGTAAATGTGGATGCATGCTCTCCATAACTCTTCCACAATGACATTTTCTTCTTTCTGGCTCTCTTTCTAGATATTACAAGACAGAAATCATTGTCACTGCTTGTGTCGCTGCACAAGTGGGCTGCCTGGACTCCACCACATGTACCAACGCTCTTTGGGGAACAAATGCCACTATCATAATCAGACTTCTCTAGCCAATTCTCATCAAATCCACTGTTAGAACTGCAAAACTCTGTCGCTTCACATGGATCAGGTCCACGTTCATTTCTGAATATAAACAGAGCCTTGGTATCATGGTTACAGTTCGCACTACTGCCAGCATAGCAAGTTTCTTGAGATAAACCTGTAGATACGGAATTTTGAGTATTGTCCAAATGCCTGAAGCTACTGCTATCACATTGTCCACACAATGCAGGGCACAGAGTTGCTGATCTAGACAGTTCCATCTCATCACAGTAGGACGCACTCGAAACTGAACCACCTGAGCAGCAACGGTACTCATTATCATTATCACTCTCAGGAGCCTCTTCAGAACCTTCCTTGACAGAAGAACTGGGAGAAGTTTGCTCAAAGCGTATATCACCAACATGCTTAGGTGAAAGTGTCGAATCTTCACAATCACCAACATCAACTGCAGGGGCAGCGCCATTGCTCTCTCTGAATTTAGCTTCAGATCCATCAGTCGGCTTCCTACAGCGTTGCCTGTGCTTCTTGCTTTTCTTTTTGCTCTTCCTTCTTGATGAATGTCTTGCATTATCACTTGGCTTGGTAAAGCTGTTGACTAAGAAATCTGAATCAGACATGCTATTGGATGTTGTGGGCTTATCTTCCAGTAGCCTTGATGAATTATCCAGCCATCTACTGCGAGATCCATCTTGAGCATTAAGGTGCAGGAACAAAATCGATGGGGAGGATGGTGACAAGGATGATGTCTCAGGGCTCTCTTCTGGAGATGTAGGTTGAGATGAAGGATCATCACTTGCACTCTCGGTGAGTGATGGTGATTTGAAGTCGTAACAGAAATTGAAGGGAATAACTGTCACGATAATACACCTGGCAAGTAAGCGAATACCAAGTTATTAATTAGCAAAGGACAACAAGCCGAGGAATTGGCAGAGGCAAAACATTTAAAGGACATTTTGCTAAGGGCAGCATGACATATATACAGCAGGTGCACGGTAAAATTCTTTGTTGCAAATATTTTTTTTCTGCAATCAGGCATAAATTAAGGGAGGAAGAAAGACAGAAACATGAGGTAAATTCAGAAAGGAGAAAAATCATGCACAAGCTGGTATATTCAACAGGTGGAATTAGAATAGAACATATGTGTACCTTGTTAGTTTGATCTCCACCGATTGGCCAATGGCCAATTGGGCCCTTGGATCAACGCCCTGATCGGGGCGTCCAACCACTCCATGGTTGGTGGACCCCCGTCGCACAACACCATAAAAGAGAAGTTGGGGCCAGGGCACGAGGTTGACCTGAGCCGCCGCAACCCTCCTACAGAGAAACCCTAACCCGATCTAAAGAGAGCATGTTGCTAGCGACGGGAAGCCGCCACCGACTTCACCATCGCCTCTGCATGGCCACCACCGCGCCGGACTTCACCGCCCGCACTGCGTACCCGCTGCCATGGCGTCTACTCTGCCAAGCCCGAAGGTATGGCCCTCTACTCCTTTTCTCTCTCTCTCTCCAAGTCTTCTCAGTTTTCCCATGGCTTATACACTAGCAATAGTAAAGTAAACCCACTAGATCTACTCCTAGTTGACCTCACAGTCTATCAATGGTAACAGAGCCACGCTAGGGTGTAGATCTAGGTCTTGGGGTAGAAAAGAAGAACGAATTTAGATGGAGATGAACAGGTTTTTATAATTCCCCAAACCCTAACCCTAACCCTAACTCCAAGAAACCGGACGGACGGGACAGGGGCCTACCTGGGGCTCACCTGCCGTTGTCACTACCGCCGGCATTGCTCCGATGTCGCGCGGGAAGAACCACCCTAGCCGCCGGCCAGGAGGTCACGCCACCGCGCGGCCTACGCCTCGGGCTTCGGGGTCAAGGCGCAACCGCAAGGCCGCTTGACGGCTGCACACTCAGCCTAGGGCGAGTGTGCGCGCCGCCACCTTCCTTTTCTGTGGCCGCCACGGGCTGCCGTTCGCGTCGTGGTCGTTTTTTACTGCGGCGCTGAGGAAGAGAAGGGGAAAGGGAAGAGAAAGGAAGAGGAGGAAGGGGAGCCGGACTTGCTCTGGTGGCTGCCTTCCTCACCGACGTCGATGGCCACCATGGCCGCCGCCGCTGACGCCTGTGCGGCGCGAGAGAGAGGACGCGGCACGAGAGAGAGAAGGGAGAGGAGGAAATGAGGTTCTAGGGTTTGGGGAGGCAGGCCAGGCGAGGGCAGGGTTTTTGTTCTCCCGATCGGCGCGCACGACCGTTCAATCGAGATGGACGGGCGACGATGACCGACGCCCAAAGTGGCAATGAATCCCTTACCAGCCCAGTTGCGGCTGGGCGCTGGGGAGAGAACCACAGCGCATGGCGTGTGGTTGATTTTACGGCGGCTGGTCACGCACATGGGACGTGGGCCACGACTGTTTCATCAAGTCTAGGCCAAATGAACAGTGAACTCCGAGGTTATGTTTTATTCTTTTTCAGAAGCAATTTTTTGATGATTTTTGTCTAGTTTAAATCTCTGTCAAAATTTGAACCAACGGGATAATTTTTTCAGAGAGTAGATGAGAAAAGTTAAATGCTTCTGAAAAGTAGATAAAGAATTTTTTCAAGTTTCCGCTGCAAAGTTTAAAGTCTATTATCTTCTAATTAAATTCGAACCAACGAGAGAATTTGATTTGAAGAGTAGTTATATTTAGTAAATTATGATCATGTTTATCCTCTAATTAAATTGAAATCATCGGAAAAATTAAAATTAGAGTAGTCCGTTTTGTTTAAGTCAGATTATGGTATTGTCATTTTCTGACCAACGTTGATGATGACAATATTGTAATGAGTTCAAGTTTAAGTTTTAAATCTCTGATAAATTTCACACCAACATGGTCAATTTTTCATAGAGTAGATAAGGACCAAGAAATATTTCTGAACTAATAGAATGTATTTTATTAACATGTTTCCGCTGCAATGAAATTGATTATCTTCTAATTAAATTCGAACCAACGGAAGAATTTAATTTTGAAGAGTAGTTATATGGATTTCAAGTTAATTTATGAGACATGCATTAATTCTATTTTCTACCCAACGGTGATGTAGTATTGATGCAGAAGCATATTTTAACCAATGAGATCACTCGGCCGCATGCCAACGGGCTGCAATACTGGGGCATGTGAATGAAAAGGCTTGAGACAAGCCAATTCAGGACAGATTTTTGTTAGTTTACTATTTTCTGATTAAATTGGAACCAACGGAAAAAATTAATTGGAAAATAAAGTATAACTGAATGTTTTAGTCGTCATGGCTAAGTTTTCGTATAAATGTATCCCGCAAGGGGAGAAGTTTTGACATAGTACTTATGCTAGTCAATCTTGCATGGCGGGAGAAGTATTGTTATGATACATATGTTTGTATCCCGCATAGTGAGAGAAGTTTGGGTAGCTCTTATGCTGTCCCAGTATTGACCGTGGCACAATAAAAATGCATCGTCATGGTCAATACTAATCAAAGGATAAGGAAAAGATGCAAGCGTGACTTGCAAAAGTACTGCTAATGAAAGACCTCGTTGAGTTCTTAAAGTGAATTAAGGAAAGTGTACTCCTAAACGGATCAAGAAATAATTTTATTTACGTGACAATCATGTGAATGAAGTAAGTTAAAAGTGTCTCCTCGTTTACAGGCTTTCTGAATAGTTATCGAAATTATGGCAGTAATGTTCATGCCATATTTCGAGGGGGAGAATATAAAGATCAATTAAGAAAAATACTCTTCATTAAGAGTGAGATAAAGATTAATTAAGATGAATGCGACCGTTGGAGGAGTACAATTGTCACAACGATGATACCCCTAAGCAGATAAATAGCTAAATTCCTGGACCTTTTAAAGTTCTGACAGAAAGATAGCGTAGTCAGCCTCTAAGATGTTAAGGTGGTGCTTAAAGCGTCATATGAGGTTTTAACGAATTAAACCAAAAATAAGAATTTTGAAGATATACTATCTTTAGAAAAGATGGGAAGATCTGAGAGAGCATGGTATGTAGAGGTATGTAGAGGCCTAAGACTTGAAGGGAAGAGGGACTGTGTGCCCACTCCAGTGACTTAGTAGCAACAAGTTTCTTAATACCTGTTGATGTTGTATGACTAATACAACACCTGTTGTTGGCTCTTCGAAGAAGATAAATAATGTAAACAAGGATCTTGTGATACAGGAGTCTGTAGAATCAATTGCCTCTTGGCAATGAAGAACAGCAACAGCCCCATATGAAAATGACAGTAGCTGAGACCCCAGATGGTCTCAAAGAATTAGTAAACCAGTTTTTCCAATGACTATGAAGTCTATGTTAGTAAAGAAATTCAAATGGAGGGTGATCTCACCTCATTTAAAGAAGCCATGAGAAGCGTTTACTCGTTTAAATGGCAAGAAGCTATGGAAGTTGAAATGAATTCGAGGAATACCAACGATGTTTTGGATTTAGAAGAAATTCCTAATGGAGCCAAAACAGTAGGCTGTAAAAGGGTCTACAAGACAAAACGTGACTCCAAAGGAAATGTAGAAAGATATAAAGCACGACTTGTGGCAATATGCTTTACGCAAAGAGAATGAATAGATTACAATGAGAGTTTTCTCTCCAGTCTTATGTAAGGATTCTTTTAGAATCATAATGGTGTTAATGGCACATTACGATTTAGAGTTACATCAGTGGATGTAAAGACGGCATTCCTCAACGGGGATTTATATGAAAAACGATTACATGGCACAACCTAAAAGGTTTTGTCGTGGAAGAAAAGAACATATGGGATGCCGCCTGTAGAAAACCATTTATGGGTTAAATGTAAGTCTCTAGACAATAGTATTTGAAATTGATGAAACGATAAAAAAGTTTGGGTTTTTTAAAGAAAATGAGAAGGACAATAGCGTTTATGCAAAGAAAGAATGGAAAATTCATTTTCTACATCCTGTGAATAGATGACATTCTACTCCTTAGTAGTGATGTTAATCTGTCATTGGAGAAGAAGTTTTGTCCTCAAGTTTCAATGTGAATGATCTTGGTGAAGTGTCATTGGTTATAGGAATCGAAATTCACCGAGATAGAAGAAAATTGGGTATTAGGACTATCGCAAATGCATACTTAGAAAAGATTCTAGAGAAATAAAGTATGCATGCGAGTAAACCTATGCCTGCTCCTATAGTCAAGGGTAATAGATTTGAGAACTTTAAGTGCTCCAGGAACCGATATGAGATCGATCAAAAGAATATGGTTCCATATGCTTCAGTTATTGGAAGCTTGATGTGTGTACAAGTACAAGTAAGAACTTACCCTGACGTAGTTTATGTATCTGGGGTATTTTGGCAAAAGTCCAGTTCAGATATAGATCATTGGAATTGAGCTGAGAATGTCTTGCAATTTTACAAAGTATCATAGGCCTTATGCTAACTAAGAAAGAATAAGTACTCTCAAATAGTTGAGGGTACAAAAGGTTAAGTCTTGGCGAGATGTGTAGTGAAATCAACAGCAGTTGCTAACACTCGTAGTTGGAGTATTATTATGGAAAAGCTCCAAAGAAACAGTTGTGGTGTCATCAGTGATGCATACCATAGAATAGCTTGTCATGAGGCTTAAGGAACAGGCAAAAGGAGGTTAAGGAAATTTGTACCCGGATTTAACAATGGTAGACAACAGCAATAGCCATTTAAAGTAAGTTAACTCCTAAGATAATAAGTCAAGTGTGCTGCCAAACACATTGACACTAAGGTATATGTTGTAAAGGAAAAAAATCCAGAATCATTTTAAGAGCATTGAGCACATAAGTACCGAGTAAGTACTTGCGGATCCGCTTGCCAAAGGCCAACCACCCAGTGCCACCCAGTGCGTTCAGAGAACACACAGTCGACATGGGTTTATGGGAAAGCCTATGATTTCTAGATACTAAGGGCCTAATTGAGTATCTGTTTCAAAACAGAGAGGTGCGTTGTAGCTGTTTAATCTAATGGCAACAGACCGTGATGATGAGGCACGCTCTATGCACTGATCTGTGATGGAATGGGAACAAGATAAAGTAAGTAAGTTAAGTTTAAGGAATAAGATGAGATCAAGAGAGAATGTTAGCTTGATCTCCACCGATTGGTCCAACGGCCAATTGGGCCCTAGGATCAACGCCCTGATCGGGGGCGTCCAACCACTCCATGGTTGGTGGGCCCCCGTCGCACAGCACCATAAAAGAGAAGCTGAGGCCGGGGCACGAGGTACGAGGTTGACCTGAGCCGCCGCAACCCTCCTACAGAGAAACCCTAACCCGATCTAAAGAGAGCGTGCTGCCAACGACGGGAAGCCGCCACCGACTTCACCATCACCTCTGCATGGCCACCACCGCGCCGGACTTCACCGCCCGCACTGCGTACCCGCCGCCATGGCGTCTACTCTGCCAAGCCCCAAGCCCGAAGGTATGGCCCTCTACTCCTTTTCTCTCTCTCTCTCAAGTTTTCTCAGTTTTCCCATAGCTTATACACTTGCAATAGTAAAGTAAACCCAGTAGATGTACTCCTAGTTGACCTCACAGTCTATCATACCTCTGTTGCTGCTGCCTTGCCTCGAGGCGAGCTACTTGACGCTCCTGGAAAAAAAAACGTAGCAAGCAAAGCATTAAACAGAGTAGAGTTTGCGCACTTTGTCTCGGGGAACTAGGAAAGCACAAAGAAAAAGGGCATACAAACTGAAGGTTGAGTGGGTTCTTCCTCTCTGATGATCTCCCAAACAGGCGACGAGGCCTCCTATTTACAACAGCATCAGCAGCAGTTCTAGTAGGCATTCCATGTTCTGGTGGCATTTCGCATGAATCCTGCAAGTAGGACAAAAGAAAAAATGCACATGAGCAAGCACATGCTGAAGCATGGTAGCTTTTGGGCACTCCAGTGAGCATCCATCCAGACACGGAAATTTTAAGAGCCGTGTATCTAGGACCAAATAGCAGCAGGTGACTACATCCCCATTTCCACTCCCACTCCCTAGAAACGTTTGACTGGAAAGTGCAAGTTGCAGCACAAGAATGGTACTAGACTGGTAACTTTGATTTTGAAGTAGGTAGAGTTGAACGTGAACCTAGGGAGTAGTGGGGAACAGTAATTTTTCCATCATAAGATAGAATTTAGAACGAGGAAAGCAAAGGAAGGGAGGCTGAAGCGGAGTTGACGAAACAGAGAAGACCCTGAGCAGAAGTCGAAGCGGAATTGGTGGCTGCAAGTGGACTAGGAAGCCAGCATTGGAAGTCGGAGATGGCATCGCAAATTCGCAAACGTAGTGCGGGAGGAAGGGATCGCCGCGGATGGATTCGGGCGGCGGCGGCTTGGGGGTTCTGCTGGATGAGATGAAATCGATATCCACAAACAAATGGATGGAGTATGGATGCGAGGATCACAGAAATCAGAAGCCCAATAAATCCAATCCAGGGATTTTTTTGTGGGAGCACTGGTTCGCTCCTCTTCCTACCCTAATAATTAATTGAAAAAATGAGCAGCAACGATCAATCTCCACCACCACCTAGACGACGAGACGAGACGATTAGGTTTGGGAAGCGGAATCAGAGCGAGGGCGGCGGCGGCGGCAAATTCGGAGAGTGGAAAGCAAAATCGCATGCTACGAGCAACAAGCGAAGGCGTCAGGGCATACGCACGCACCCTGAAGGCGAGGCGAAGGATCTGCAAGTGAGCGCTCCTCCGGTGCGAGATGGATCTCGATCTCAGCGTCTCGAGGTAGGAGGAGATGATGAGATGATCGCTCTCGTCACACTCGTGTTGCCTCTCCCTCTCGCCTTTTTGTGTCTAGTAGATCGATCGATTACAATCAAAAGAAAAGCAAAAGGAGGAAGAAGACGAAGGGGGGAGAGAGAGGGGCAGGTAAGGTGCCTCGCCTCGTGTTGTGCCGGCCTCCTCCCTCTCGTGGGCTGTGCCTGTGGTAGGTAGCACGACTAGTATTGGAGAGAGAAGAAGAGAAAAACGTATTGTCTTTTGAATTAACTTTTTTTAAAAAAAACAAATCATGTATCCATCATTTACAAGTGGTATTCCATATCAGGAAGAGAGATCGTCCGTATCAGGGATAGAGATAGTGTTGCTGCCGTTGATTTGATTATACCCGACTGATTTGCTTCATTTGTTTTTAACTATAAATCTCATAAAACAGATCTCTTTTACTACCTTTATTTATTTATATATATACAGTGGCTGCCCGGCCCGGCCCGGCCCGGCCAACAGTGAGCTGCCCCTGCGGGAATAGCGCAGGATCAGAGAAGAGAATATACCGCACGGGCGCACCTCCAACCCCAAGAGTGAAGACATAGAAGAAGACCAGACTGAGACTGAGACTGAGACCCCGACCCCACCAGACCAGGAGCGATAGATACACGTACCAACAGACACTGCACTGCAACTGCATGTCCCTTGCCTTGGTTGGATGGCAGAGGATGAAGGGGGTATTTGTTGCGTGCTTCAAGCGGATGGGGCCAATAGAACCCTCGTATTACGATTTTTGAACCACAAAAAAAAGAAAGGTCTTTAGAGGCCACTCACTCATTCCTCTTGGATTGTTAAGAGTCCAAACCATATTTAAAAATATTTGAAATACGAGTCTGTTCATATAACGTTTATATAAAATACGTTCTCAAATCTTTTCAAATCATAATAATACGCCAACCATCAACTAACGAGCTGTTCGGGATAGTTTCTATGGCTGATAAACGGCTGAAACTGATTTATTGTAAGAAAAAAACATTATCCCAGAAGCGTATCAATCTGCAAGTCCAGCTCGCAACCCAGATTAAAATCATGTATCACACATACATCCTACCAACCACACAAGCTCCAACAAACATGCATGTTTGGTAGAGATTTACCAACGCAAGGAAAATAAGTGCCTCGTGGTCGTGGATGGATAACTGAAGCATGCACTCGGCGGAACAAATAGATAGTAGACTTCTATTATTACCCAAGCAAGCCCAAACCAACAACTAACAATACATCCAATGGTCCAAATCCAACGGACGAAGACAAACCGTACAGCAGCAACGCGGCATGAAACACGCACCCGCCTCGGCGTCACATGATACAACAAACCATGCAAGCAAGATTCAGGGCAACACCTCAATATCCATCTATCCAGATCAAGCCACGCACAGCACACGGCAAGTGCTAATCTCTCATGCATACCAACAAGGAATCGACAAATGAATTCTGCCCGGGCCTGGGAATATGCAAGTATGCAATGTACATTCAAACGATATGCAGTCCTCTAACAACTAACAGCAAATCTGCCTATCACATACGAACCATCATTCAACACCAAACCAGCAGCACCATCATCAGTTGTCCCGCCGAAACAAACAACAAAGCAGTATAATGCCCGCCAGGCTGCAACCTAGGCTGTGCACCAAATGACCACACACCGCACATACACAGACATAAGGGTAACATCACCACTCAGCTGCTCGTCACATTGATTTCTCTTCCAAACGAATGGCTCGGGTGAACCAAAACGAGTAATTGTATCACACTACATGCCTGACTAACCCATCTGTAAGCCTTCCTTGAAATTGCCCAAAATGGTTCCAGAAGCCCCATTAGTCCTCCCCAGCTTGCGCCAAGGGACTACAGTACATTGTGTTAGCAACTGTAAATTTTTCTCTACATACAATTCTACATTTTACCTCTTCAAACCAAGGCTTTAGCTGCTCCAGAAACTCCCCTCAACTCCACCCAAATCACCAATATTCACATCAACAAATCAAAACCCGGCATCATTTGACTATCGTTCTTCAGACCTGTCACAATGACAAAGATTAGTCAAACAAGATAGCTTCAGACAACATAAGATCATACCTCAAAACTCACAGCTCAACGGAAGTAAAACATCTAATGGCAGCCACAAGGCAAAAAAGAAATGAGGCACTAGCCAAAAGCAAACAAGAAAAATGTGCCTGTAAAAAAAAGGAGGGTGCAATTAAAGCAATATTGATATAAAAATGGAATTATTTATTCCTCAATAGCTGTAACCTTGGAACCAGTGGCAAGAGCAGCCAATAAAGCCAAGAGAAATAAATGATCTTGGCCAATGCAATAAACATGAATAATGATAGCTGAATATTTTGACATCCAACATTCTCTTGAACAGATAATATATCGATTTCAATAATACACAGCAAAAATGCTCCTAGAGCTCGACAAATATTCCAATTGCTGAAATGTTCAGTTTGGAGAGAGAAAAGCGCAGTTTTTATTCTTCAGAACTGAAGTGAGCAATGCAATACAACATTATAGCGATACTACTGAACATTCAGAATTTCAGATAGTACGATGGATTACCCAGTGAGCGGGAAATGCAAGTACTCTAGTATCAACCGGAGAAATGAACCACAAAACTCAAATAACAGTCATCTAATTCAAGAGAAAATTGGCATAGGTCAAAAGTCCCAGGAGTAGGAATGGCACACAATATATATAGTTTCTAAATAGCCTCTTTGTTTCTTTTTCTTTTTTTTGTGGTTATTGTCGTTGTTTTGATGTCAATGGCTCACAGTTATGACTTACTTAGAAAACCAAAGCACAGATGTTGAACTTTCCATCCTCATGTTCATGAGCTAAAACTAAAACCTACTTTGCAGGCCTATAAGTTAGCACAACCTGTTTTATTTTCAACAGTAACACAAAAAACCCGTCATATGGACAAATGAGATAGGCATTTCCTTGTGATATTTATCATTTGACTGCAAAAGAAAAGAATATTTTTTACATTTACATCTAAGCAAATTTCATGCCACCTCACCCCCATGCAAATATATTATTCTAATTTACTTTATGGAATCGAGTTAGACAGGAAACTTAATTTAGGGGAAAAATAACCGAAAACCGTGTTCCTACATGTACCACTGTGTGAATCAGCACACAACTCTATCAACAGTTTTAGGAAACACAAATAAACTAGAGCTCTTAAATATTATCACATATTTCGCTGTCCAAAAAGAATCAAAACTAATTTTCTCTCTTACTACTCAGTGTACCTAGTGGCCCTGATGTACCTGCTACCCTATAACTGGCTAAGCACAATTCTAGTCCAAACAGCAAACATACAGCACTTAACAAAAAAAAACATTAGTTGAGGCTTTCATTATAGTTAGATAGATGTGGTTAGCTAATTGAAATTTGGAGTGTGTTGCAAATTGAGCACAGCAGTTAAGAGAAAAATGAACCATAGAAAAATAACACAGGCACCACAACAAAATGCTTTAATGTGATATCAGTTCCCGGTATTTACTACCAGACCCTGTGTCTATAACCAACGCACGTCTGAGCAAGATACAATAAGAACAGTTTGCAGTCTTGATCCATACTGGAAGCAACATCTAAGAAACTGAGAACATTTGTGTCATGTGAAACATGAGCTTACACTAAGAGAGATTAGTCTGCTGGATGCTGTTGTCAAGACTAGTTACATTGTAAAATGTCCATTCCATATACTATGGCAGATCTCATCATTACACCCAGGCAATTGCATCTCCATCACAGACTAACAAAGCCACCAACTGTTGCACTCAATTCAAATTGCCTCCAATGCCCTGAGCTTTCCCCGTCAAAACCTGCAAAAGAGCAACAGTTTGAGAAAAGTTCAGTTGAGTGAATATAGATGAGAGAATCTAAAGACAAATATCTAAAAGAAAGATGACTCAGAGGAAAACATAAAAACACACAAAGAGCAAAAGAGAGTACCACAAACAAGAAGTTCAGTTTACAACTCTATCAAGAAGGCCTCCAGCAATTAAGAGTGTGGATATCAGACCTGGCTGGTAGCATCTGAGGAACATGGCCTGTCAAAAGAAAAATTAAATTAAAAAGGCTTGAGAAAACCGTAAGGAAATATATAGATCACCCAACACATCTGTTTTTTTCCTACAAGTCCACAAGAATAATGACAAGATCCCATTGCAGCACACTGGAATTGAAGGGGGCTGATTGCCAGTGTATCTTTAAAAAATCATTAAGAAAATTCATATGAAAGCACAGCCCCCAAGAACACAACCATAAACTTTTAAGAAACCATAGACCTGGTAGTGGTGCTCCAGACGGCAAATGATTCAGAACAGTATGTTGATGATTCATAGGATTCATTGAAGATCTGTCAATGTTCGATCTTGAATATCCTACATGAGAATTTTACTATTAGTGTCAGTCCAAAAGTTGATGCAAAACAACTCTTTTAAACAGCTTATGGGAGAACATACCATCCTGCATGAATGGACCTTCTGAGCAAGATAATGCTCTGCCACCTGGACTGAAGTTACCAGATGCCATCCGCCAATGTTCTTCAGGTGGATAATGGCTCTGACTGTTTGGAAAGGACTGCACAGCATAAGGATTGCGCGGAGGTGGTACAGCTTGTTGGCCCATGGGATTCATGTGTGCCATACGAGAGTGGGGATGAACTGGAGGCGTTTGTGCAGATGGAAAGGCACTGAAATTCCCTTGCTGAAAAGGTACACCAGTGGGCCGAAACTGATAATTACCATTAGAAGTTTGTGGTGCCATAAATACGTTATTGTTTCCATACTCTGCCGGCATTGAAGTAACAAAATTAACCGCAGCTTGTCCATTAACTGGTCCACCAGGAATGAAGGTTGTTGTATTTCCAATAGCTTGAATTGATGTATTTCCTGTCATCTGGGTCAATTGTTTACCCTGCAGCACAAGTCTTTTTTATAATCTAAACAAGAACACATCATGATATGTAAGTAAGTTCGGAAAATTATTACATTGGGCGTCATGAAGTACTCTGGAGCTGGAGGCTGATAACCCAATGATGACGGAGATGAAGGAACAGGCAGCAGAATAGAAGGAAGAGGTGGGGCCTGGGTTGGTAGAGGTGGTGGAGCAGGCTGAGGAGGTGGTGGAGCAGGCCGAGGAGGTGGTCCAGATGGCAGTGGGGGAGGTGGTGGAGGAGGTGGTGAAGCTGGAGAAAGTGGAGGTGGTGGCGGCGGCGGTGTAGCAGGTGGTGGCGAAGGAGGCAAAGGAGGTGGAGGAGGTGGTGAATCTGACGGAAGCGGTGGAGGGCCATCAGGTAGAGGGGGAAGCTCATCCTGGTCAATCAATGCCTGCTCTGAACCTGGATCTTGACTAGAGTCATGTTCAATAAGGACAGCTCCATCAGTCTGTTGGTTGTTGCCTAGTATCTCTAAAGCATCTTCCATAGCAGCATCAGTAGTTACATTCTCTACTCTAATAATGTGTTCCTCAACAGATGCTGGAGCAATAGTCTCTTCAGTTTCTCGTATGACATCGCTTTCAACAGGCCGTGAAACAAATGGTGATGAGCCATTATTTCGTGGGAAGTCTTCATCATCTTCAAACACTTTTGATGATAAAATTCCAGAAAGCTCAAAAGTTGCATTGCTGAGAACAGAAAAAACCACAAAGCATACGTCAATAATGCCTGGTAAGTTGGATAAAGATAATACAACACATAGACACACTAAAGTACAGGGAACTCTGCTTTATAACAACAACAACAACAACATAGCCTTTCAGTCCCAACCAAGTTGAGGTAGGCTAAAGTTGAAACCCAGCAAGAGCCCCAAGTCACGGTTCAGGCACTTCAATAGCTGCTTTCCAAGTACTCCTATTCAAACATAGATTTCTAAGTATATCCCAAGCTTTCAAATCTCTTTTTATTGCCTCCCCACATGTCAATTTCGGTCTTCATCTACCTCTCATATTATTGGCTTGGCTTAAGACTCCACAATGCACTAGTGCCTCTAGAGGTCTCCTTTGGACATGGTCAAACCACCTCAACCGATGTTGGACAAGATTTTCTTCAATTGGTGCTACCTCTAGGCGATCACGTATATCATCGTTCCGAACTCGGGCTATTCTTGTGTGACCGCAAATCCATCGCAACATACGCATTTCTGCAACACTCAGTTGTTGAACATGTCGAATCTTTGTAGGCCAACATTCTGCTCCATACAACATAGCCGGTCTAATCACCGTTCTATAGAACTTGCCTTTTAGCTTTTGTGGTACCCTCTTGTCACAGAGAATGCCAGATGCTTGTCGCCACTTGATCCACCTTACTTTGATTATATGGCTAACGTCCGCATCAATATCTCTATCCCTCTATAGCATCGATCATAGATACCGAAAGATATCCTTCTTAGGCACTACTTGACCTTCCAAACTCACATCTCCCTCCTCATGTACAACTCCGCCAAAGTCGCATCTCATGTATTCAGTTTTAGTTCTGCTCAATCTAAAACCTTTAGACTCAAGGGTCTGCCGCCATAACTCTAGTTTCCTATTTACTCCAGCCTGACTTTCGTCCACTAACACTACATCATCAGCGAACAACATACACCAAGGGATATCCCCTTGTATGTTCCTGGTAACCTCATCCATTACCAAGGCAAAGAGATACAGGCTTAACGTTGACCCTTGATGAAGTCCAATTTTAATCGGGAAGCAATCTGTGTTACCATCGTTTGTTCGAACACTAGTCACAACATTGTTGTACATGTCCTTGATGAGGGTCACGTACTTTGATGGGACTTTATGTTTGTCCAAAGACCAACACATAACATTTCTTGGTATCTTGTCATAAGCCTTCTCCAAGTCGATGAAAACCAAGTGGAGGTCCTTCTTCTGCTCTCTAAACCGCTCCATAACCTGTCTTATTAAGATTGCTTCTGTGATTGACCTTCCGGGCATGAAACCAAATTGGTTTGTTGATATCTACGTAGTTCCTAGCAGGCGCTGCTCGATGACCCTCTCCCATAACTTCATAGTGTGGCTCATCAACTTCATTCCCCGATAATTAGTACAACTTTAGATATCTCCCTTGTTCTTGTAGATTGGTACAAATATGCTTCTTCTCCACTCCTCAGACATCTTGTTCGATCGAAAGATATTGTTGAACATCTTGGTTAGTCATACTATAGCTATATCCCCGATACATCTCCACACCTTGATTGGGATACCATCAGGGCCCATCGCTTTGCCCCCTTTCATCCTTTTCAAGGCTTCTCTGACCTCCGATTCTTGAATCCTCCGCACAAAGCGCCTGTTAGTGTCATCAAACGAGTCGTCCAGCTGAACGGTGGTGTTCTCGTTCTCAACATTGAACAATTTACCAAAATACTCTTACCATCTATGTCTGATCTCATCCTCCTTCACCAAGAGTTGCTCCATTTCATCCTTTATGCACTTGACTTGGTTGAAGTCTCTTGTCTTCTTATCGCGAGCCCTAACCATCCTATAAATGTCCTTCTCTCCTTTCTTCGTACTCAAACGTCGATAAAGGTCCTCATAGGCCCGCCCCTTTGCCTGACTCACCGCTCGTATTGCAGTCTTCTTTGCCACCTTGTATTTCTCTATGTTGTTTGCACACCTGTCATGATACAAGCGCTTATAGCACTCCTTTTCCTTAATAGCCTTTTGCACATCTTCATTCCACCACCAAGTGTCTTTCGAGTCGCATCCGCTCCCTTTGGTCACTCCAAGCACCTCTAAAGCAACCTTCCAAACGCATGCTGCCATCTTCTCCCAGATGTTGTTTGCATCGCCTTCATCATTCCAAGGGCCCTCTTCAATGACCCTTTCCTTAAAGACATTTGATGTCTCCCCTTCTAATTTCCACCACTTCGTTCTAGCAACCCTAGCTTGTTTGTTCCCACAAGCTTGCACCAGAAAGCGGAAGTCAGCCACCACCAGCTTGTGTTGAGCGACCACACAATCTCCAAGTATCACCTTACAGTCCACGCATGTTCGTTTATCCCTCCTTCTTGTAAGGACAAAGTCGATTTGACTAGAGTACTGACCGCTACTAAAGGTCACTAAATGGGACTCTCTTACATAAGAAAGTGTTAGCTATCATCAGATCAAAAGCTATGGCGAAGTCTAAGACTTCCTCTCCTCCCGGATTCCTACTACCATATCCGAAACCTCCATGAACCGCCTCGAAACCTGCACTTGATGTACCTACATGGCCATTAAGATCACCTCCTATAAAGAGCTTCTCGCTACTAGGGACAGCTCTAACCAAGCGATCTAAGTCTTCCCAGAAAAGCCGCTTAGCACTCTCATCATGGCCTACTTGGGGGGCATACGCACTAATTACGTTTAAGATCATATCACTAATGACAAGATGATCCTATCCCCTTGCCTTCTCACCTCCACCAAACAATCCTTGAGGCTCTTGTCAATCAAAACTCCTACTCCATTTTTATTTAAAGTTGTCCCTGTGTACCAGAGCTTGAAGCCGGTATTGTCCACCTCCTTCGTCTTCTGCCTCTTCCATTTAGTCTCTTGGACGTATAAGATATTTACACGCCTCCTAACCGCTGTGTCCACTAACTCTCTTAACTTACCTGTAAGGGATCCTACATTCCAGCTACCTAAACAGATCCTAGTTGGCTCTACTAACTTCCTTACCCTTCACACCCGCCGAGGTAGGTGTGAAGACCCTTGCTCATTTTGCACCACATCCGGGCGCCGATGTGGCGCGCCACTAAGGATGCGACGACCCGATCCTTGCTCACTTGACACCGTGTCCAGATCGCGACACGGCGCGTCACGGGGGTGACGACCCGGCCCTTGCTCGTTTAGCACCATACCCGGGTTCCGACATGGCGCGTCGCTAAGAGGGTTACGCCCCAACTGGATTCTTTTGGGTTTCGTCTCCATTAAAGTGGCTAAGTTTTTACATTGGCTCGCCGCGCCTAACACAACCCTCCTCCTTTACCAGGGCTTGGGACCTTTTATGTTGGGGCAACAAAGGTGCCCCACCATAAGCAAAACAAAAATGCAAAAGATGATCAGGAAAGCAGAAAACATCCAATATGGGAGTTACTTCATTAGTTTGAAGCATGTCCTTACTTCCTAATAGCAAGTTCACTGAGCTTCATACTAAAGTCCACAAACTTTGCAACATAAGCACCCTGGTCATGTAAGACTAAGACTCTCTTAGCATAAATCGTATTTTGAAGATCTTAATAGCAGGGATTCATGTAGTCAAAGCATTTGACATTACCATAGCCTATTTTAGGTTCCATAATACCACAACATAACAACTGTATTCTAAGATATTGATACAAACAAAGCCATGCATATTTGGGGTAGATACTGGCACTGCTGTGTTTCTTGACTTCTAAACTAATGATAGAGAACATCAACTTAGTGTCATGTGAAGCTGCATCATATGTGGCAATTCCAATATGGGACTGGCATAGTGGCATGATTATTACTACCCAGTATATACTAACCAAGGGAACCTGAAATGCAATTTTAAGCTGTTTATCCGGTCATGATATACTAATCTTATAAACAAACTTGTTAAAAGTTTAAAATATTGAGCAGATGGTCACCAGAACTTGCATCTCAAGCTAGAAAAATAAAAACAGTAAAATGATTTACTGAACTAGTAAATGGTATATCAAGTGCCACAATACCTTCCATACTCATCAACAAGCATGTCATCCATCTCCCTAATAGGATCGTCTACAGAACGTTCAGCACGGGATGGTCGCTTCAACATTAAAGTAGTGCTAGTACCATCATTTGGCACCTCAATGTCGCCCATGTACTTTCGGAGTATGTCTTCTGGCATAATCTTTCTCTCAAGCCACAATCTTAAAACCTACAAAGCCAGGCAGCCAAGTGACCCACTGTTTAGGAAAAAGAAAGGTCAGAATCAATAATAATGTCCAATACTTTAAGGCACTGGCGCCGGTTTTCACGAGCACCAGCTCCAGGTGGAGCAGCAGCACCCAAAAGACGGGGCAATGCCGCTTGAACAGTGGGAACATATGAAGCCCCGGCAACTCCTGAACATTTCAGAATTCAAAGAATAACTTTTTGGGCAAAAGATAGCTCTAAGAGCAGGATTAATATAATATACTTTAAAAAATAAATTTACCTCTCTGAGAATGAGAACACTGTGTTATGGAATCCACAAGAAAAAGGAGGTCAATTCTGCGATGCAAATTAGGCTCGCTCTCCAATTTCTGTATGAGAAGCTCGACAATCTGGAAGAGAAATAATAAGGATAGTGAGATAACAATGAAACAGTGATGCAGATGGCATATGAGAGAGAGAAAGAGGACCTCTCCAGCAATGCCATATTTAGAGCACTCAATTGCATGGCGTGTTGCACGTCCTATACTATCCTTTGTCCTTGATAAAGTCTCTATCATTCCCTCCAAAGCATCACGAGCAATTGCTGCATCAGTACCACCACTAGGTGAACCGCTGGCCTGCCTAGATTTGGGACTCTTTCCATGACCATTGTCAAGCTCCATTGGGCTTTTCAGAATACGTTGGCCAGGACTCTCGGGAAAAGCAATTCTGGGTGGGGATGGAATGCGGAAAACAGGACTAGGGCTTAGTCCTGGCAAACCATATGGTGTGGAGGTAATAGCAGCATTATCAGTTGAAGACCCATCAAATTTTGCATGAGCAGAAGCCATAAGATTCCTCCTTGCTTGGGCAGCTGCAATAAGATGTTTTATTGACTTGGCCGAGTCAGGGTTAGGTTCAGAAGAAGCTGCTTTATCAACAGAACTGGATCTGCATAAGAAAACCACAAACTATAAACAATGCGTGCAGCTAAAACTGTTTGAACACAAAAAGATAAGTATCAGAAAGAAACTTGGGCAGTTCAAAACTCAAAGCAGTATACCTTTCCTCTTTCAAGTGATCCCGCTTCCCAGTCCGTTCAGTTGACAAATTGGTGCCCACCTTATGCTCAACAGACGTAGCTGGCTTAGATTTAGCCTTTGTTTCTTCTGATTTGGGCAGCAAGGCGATCTTTTCTGAGGCAGGATAGTTTCGGGAATGGGAGTTCCCAGATGTTAGGTGCAATGGTTTAGAAGAACTACTATGAAGTTTCTTCACCTCAAAGGATGCCGGCATTTTTACTTGAGCAGAGGATTTGCAATCAACCAGGTTCATTTTGTTACCAATGACAGCAGGAGTCTCAACCGACCCTGCGATTAGTCTTCTCCCCGTTACCTGGTGTCTAGCATGCACTTTATCCTGACTCGGTGAAGAAAAAACTGGCTCATGCTTCACAGGTGACATCCTAACACTCCTTGATTTCTCTTCTCTCGCAGGGCCTGATTTTTTTCCAGAAGCATTGCCAACATGCGAAAAAAAATTTCCCCGAGTACCTGCTTTCTCACTTGGGACATGCTCGATAGATTTGGCAGAAGTTCTATGAATTTCCCCGATAGATTTGGCTGAAGTTCTATGAAGTGGTGTCCGCTGTCCTTCATCCTCCTCATCATCAAAACGACATGCTCTTCTCTTAGGTTTCACCAATTGCCTATCGACACGTGAGATATCCTCCTTCATGCTGGAACCCTTTTTAACAGAATCAGCAACACCTGACTGAGTTACAGAACCAGATGCTGGTTCCATGACCTCAGAATGAAGCCTTGATATGGGTGATACAACAACACCTGATCTCCGTGCCCTATCATCACCGGTACCAGTCTTAAGAATTGTGTTTTTACCTGTTTCCATAGCGGTAGATCGCTCATGTTTCATAGCATTATGCTTTTCATAATTAATGTTCTTCGTCTCACTCTTGGCAACTGTCTTATCTGTTTCACCAGCCCTGTCCATAAGTCTTGGCTTCTTTGCCGGACGTGTATCAGCACTACTGTCCGTCTTGTGCTGCCTGCTACCTGGCAGAGATTTCTTATTGGAAGAAAACCCTGCAGATGATTTTCCAGTCAACTGCTTGTCAGGCTTGTCATGCACAGTTTTATTATAATCCCTTTTCTCTGAATCAGTTGTCAGTGATTGTTTTGTCATGATTTTTGAATTCTTAAATTCTCTGCTCTCTTTGCCAGTACTCATGTTTAATACAACATCAGATGCAGACTCAGCAGCAATCCTTCCAGTAGGACTACCAATACCACCACGCTTGTTTTCCTTCCTTTCAGCATCCCTCAACAGCTTGTTAGATTTAGATTTCTTTGGCACTTCAAGGGCGCAAACCACCTCCAAGTTAGGTTCCGAAACAAAACCTTCTAGGGAACGGCTCTCTTTTTCAATTTTTACCTCTTCAGTCTCCCTTTCTGTGTGCACAGATGTTGGTGAATGCTCTTGTTCTGTGTACATGTCAAGAGCAGACTTGGATGCAGCAGACTTCTTTGTCTTGGGATGCTTAGGATCCTGTAGTAAAGATGTTTTCTTTTGAGAAACTGCTAAAGAATGATCCCTTACTTCATGACCACCATCTTTGACATCCTCCTCGGTCCCTGACCCTTGCCCTGAAGTATTCGAGTAATCAGTAGGGCTATCACCTTCCATTTGTCCCAATCCTGGAGTCTCACCAACATCAGGTGACCTCACAAGGTGCTCTGTAGTCTTTTCACTCCGATCAGGCAATGCTCCATTTGTAGCTTCAGATGTTTTTGGCAGCTCATCATAGGCCTTGCAGATCTGCTCGACAGCATCATTAAATACTTGAACATATTTTCTTTGAACTTTAATATTTGGAGCTCGATCTAACAGATCATTCTTTGTCTTCTCAGTAAATTCCTCAAGATCTGCCAGGGGAACAAAAGCACTGCAGGATGATATTCATTCATTAGCAACCAAGTGATCATGACAAGGAAAAGATAGATATGTAAGACAGCAGAGGCAACAACATCAAAACAAGTGCTTATCATAGCAAGGAAAAGGCAGTAAAAAAGGATTTATTAGGCGATCATTTTACGAATTAATGCAACCCAATGCATTATGAAGTAATTAATAACTCCTATAACAGTAGTTCACTATCAATATTATTCAACATTCTATGCATATGCATAAAGGATAACGTGGAAAACAGCTAAAGAACACCAAGTTAAAAAAAATTAAGTGAGCTCTGTCAATCTTTAAAAGAAATGAAAACCATTCTTGGTCTGTTACTTTAGAAAAATATAGGCCTTAGGAATGGCCCAGAGCATTTTATGGACTGGGTAACCAAAATGAGAGGCTTAAAGCGACAAAGCGAGGATATTTTAAGAAGCAATTTCTAGTAATAAATGCTTTTGTCTCTCGTTGTTATAAAAAAAAAGTCATGCCTCAGGATTGTCCAAGCAGACAGCAGCAAGCAACATTACATCCACAGTGAAGTTGCACGTGTTTTTAGAATTTAAAATAATGGGTTGATTTGGTACATACACAGAAATTAATTATCTAACCATATAAGCGAAACTAGTCAGATAAAGTAGATGTACAACCAATTACATCTGAAATCCAATCCACCTATGGGAAAATGAGAATAGTCAGGACTGAGAACCATAAACTCAAAACTCTGCTTCTGTAAATCTGCATTCTTTCTTAAATAAATTCATGTATAAAAGTCATTTTGCCAAAGAAAAAGAAGATAGAAAAGATAAAAGGATTATATTCTCCCAAGAACTGCAAAATACATTGTTCGCTGTCAAACCCACATGTGGCTCAGCTAGAGAATAGTTGGGAGGTCAGAGGAGTGCAAAAACTGTAAATTTGACAGTTGGGACAATAAATTGCAGGCATTGACCTCCCCTTGTCGTGACCTGAACCGTCTAGTTATCTGAGCAAAACAACACTACTGGGGAACCGCATGCCCATGGTGACTTATTGCATGACAATTGACAAAAGAAAGACCTAATCCCGATCCGTAGCGAAGAGCAAATCCCGAATCCAGGCTTGCAACGTGTTAAACATGGAGTGCTAAACAGAGTAGAAAAGCAATAGGCTGGCCCTGCTATTCATACATGTTGACTGACCATATTTTGTTATTAAACATGTAATAAGTAATCTAGGGTGACAGTTTTAGGCAATTCGTATACGACGAATGGCGTGACCCAATAGGGAATTAATTGATGAGTTACAAGAATGGCAGTTGCAATATATATATATATATATATATATATATATATATATATATATATATATATATATATATATATATATATATATATATATATATATATGGAGGTGGCTACAGAATAACTTATTTTATAGCTGGCTGTTATGAATATATTATATATATATATATATATATATATATATATATATATATATATATATATATATATATATATATATATATATATATATATATATATAGAGAGAGAGAGAGAGAGTTGCGGGGCAAAGAGCTTACATCTCTTCGGTGCCGTAGAAGTAGACGAAGAACTTTTTTGGCGTTGGCTTATGCTGCCAGTCCTCGGGCCTGCTGATCTGCGGAGACAGGGAATGTAGGGATGAGGTGGGAAGGGAGTGAAACCCTAGTGTGGCAGTATGAGCAGCAGTAACGATTGAGAGAAGAGGGAGGAAGATGGAACCTTACCTTAGCTGGCCAGGGCGGGTACCCCTTGATCTTGGCGAGGACGAGGTCACCTAGTTGGGGTTCCCTGGTCCACTTGGGGCGCTGCTTGGCGCCGCGCCTACCGCCGGGAGGCATTGGCGGCGGCGGCGGCGAGGGAGAAGGATGCCCCTCCCCCCAGCGTCGAACCCTAACCTAACCCTAGCAGCAGAGAAGAGAGCAGCGGGGGGCGGGGCGAGGAGGAGGCCCGACCCTGGACCTGCCCCTAGGGTGGGAAGCACAGGCACCCACAAGACAACCCTATAGGAGGAAGGGGCGGCGGGTGGCGATGGAATCGGCGGGCGGGGGCGAATTGCGTGTGCTGCGGTCACCTCCTCCGCTTCTCGGTAGCTAATACCTGAAATCGCTTGGATGGAGGGGGCAGCCGGGGATGGGACCGGGCTTCTGCTGCTGTTTGCCTCCTGCTGCTGCTGCTTCTTCTTCCTCGCGTCTCCTCCTTCCTCCCCCTCTTCTTCCTCTCCACAACGGCGCGGTGCGGATGCGGGCGGCTCTCTTCTCCCTGGCCTTTCTGCTGCTGTGACTGCGGTCTGGGTCCCCCTCCCCCGTGCGCTGCTGTGCCGTGCTCAGGTCACTTCATCAAGATACCATACCAGCCGTCCGATCTTCGCCCCCGTGCCAGTTCAGACATGCCATCCCTTTTTTTCCCCCTTCTTCTTTGTTTCTATTTAAAACATATTTCGAAATGTCCTACATGTGGAGAAGCATTCTAAAAGCGGTTGATCTAGCTAAGGGGAGATAGTAATTACTTGTGAACACCTAGCCAAAGGCATGTTTTTTAAATAGTGAAAAGAGAAATTAATAAACAATGACAAAAAAAAGAATGAAGAGCTTCGTGCGTTGTTGCAGAATTTCATGATAGACCTATCAAGGCATAATAGAAAAATGAAACAAGACATCTCCATGTAATGGAGCAAATAAAAGAGCAAGGTGCAATCTACAGTTCAGTTGCATGATATTTATGAGACAATCAAAAATAACTCATAATGAATATAGCATCTTTGTCACTGTAAGTGATAGGAGAGTGATACCTACACGTTATGGAGTGTGCTCGTTGACACGCACTCTAAAAGCCAACTAAGGCCATGTTTAGATTCAATAATCTAAAGTAGCTAATAATTTTTAGTCCTTGAGGCTCTAGACAGGTAGTCTAAAGTTTAACCCATCCTAAAATATCATTAGTTCATTAGACCATACAAGCGTCCTAAAAGTGGTCCAAAGTTAAGCTCTCTTGCCACCTACAAATACCATCACAATTTCATCCAGCTATCACTCGTGCGTCCTCGTCCAACCACCTTCTCCCACTACCTAGGTGACAGCGCCACCACTGTGCCCCCACACCTCCCTATGTCTGCCACCACCACCAGGCCAGCGACCTCCCTAAAGATCCCTTTAAGCCCAAGGCCATGTTTAGTTTCCACCAAATTCCTGAAAAATATACTATGCAAAAAGAAGATTCTCCATCACATCAAACTTGCGGTACATGCATGGAGTACTAAATGTAGACGAAATCAAAAACTAATTGCACAGTTTGATTGTACTTTACGAGTCGAATCTTTTGAGCCTAATTAGTCAATGTTTGGACAATAATTCATAAATACAAACGAAACGCTATAGTAACACATTAATTATTTGGCCACTCCCAAATCCGGGAACTAAACAAGGGCCAACAAACTCAAGTAAGTCCTTAAACCCTAATCTTGCTGGCACTGGGAAAGAAGGCCACCATGTCATCTTTGGATTAGGCAAAAAAAAATCGAACGGGGAACCTTTGAATCGTTCGAATAAAGTTTTGCTTTACTCAAATAAAACAAAATGACTTAGACCATGCATATCCATTGTTACATCCATGCGAGGGAGAAATGAGGCTAAAATGACACAGAGCATGCATATCCATTGTCACATCCATGTGAGGGAGAAATGAGTTAGTGGTGCTGGTGAGAGATGTAAGCATGGCCATCGAGGTTAACACTTCACATGCATGGCATCAATGCTAAAATTTGCTATCTGCGCTAAGACTACCTCTATTAATAAGCCGGCGGATCTGGGCCTCGGGCTGCCCGGGCTGCAGCCCGGGGCGAGGCCCATGCGCAATGAAAATATCCTTCATAAAAATAGCATAAAAAGCCTTTTAGGCCCATTAGCCCACCCCGAGAAGAAGTTGGCCCAGCAAGAAAGCAACGGCCGTCGCCCTAGCTGCGGCTCCCGTGAGTCACCGCCTGCCCGCCTCCCGTCCGCAAGTTGCCAAGGTCGCGTCTCCGGTCTCCCGTCCACTGTCGCATTCTCCCCCTCAGAAGCGCCATCCTACCACATACATGGGCTATGCTACGGCGGCCGCCACTTATGACCGGCCCCTCGTCGGCCGCCCCCGCCCGGCAGCCTTGCTCGCCAGCGCCAACCGCCAGGGAGGCAGCCAGTGGACTCACCTCACCGGCCGTCTGCGACCATGCATGCAGCGCGCCCAGCCACGCCGGTCGCCGGTGCAAGCCGCCTGCCCTCCTCCGCCTGCGTCAGCTGCAGTCACGCTGCCCAGTGTCTGTTGAAGTGCTGATGCCCCGCCCCGGTATGGCGTCAGTGCCATTTTTTTTAATTGCTCCATGACGGCATCACTGCTACTCTGCTAGACTATTCCTATGCAAAGTAATGACCAATGAGTAATGAATATCTCATTTCATTGATGTGAGCAGGAAGTATTTGAGTCTTAGTTTGCAATTGCAACCAGTCCGCCAGTCCTGATTGCAACATTTCATAATCATAACTTAGAAAGTTATAATGGAGAAATACTATGCTAAAAAGAGTAGTGCTGAAAGTGTAGAGAGCCGGGTTGAGCAAAAAAGACCACGGATTGAACTTGATATGAGAGATATAGTTGCTGATCCAGGAGAAAGGAAACCAATTGATAATTTTCATCATGACATTAGGGATGAGGCAAGGAGAGCATATCTACAAATAGGTCCATATAGGCCGAATAGTAGCATGAATATTATCAAGACCGAACGAAGAAATAAAATGAATGATTATTGGCTGAATAGTAGCATGATGTGCTATATTGAGCGGGATTTGTTTGCGTCGATTGAAGATGAAAAAATTCTAAAGCGCTTTCAAGGCTTAAGAAACCATAAGATGAATTTGCCAGACAAGGGCTCAAGGTGCGTATTGTTTACTTGTATTAGTCTATTTCAATACATAATGTTATCTTGCTTTATAAAGGGTTGAGATGTTGAATTTTTTTTTTAGAATTGAGAATGTCGGAACAAGTGGAAGTGGTGTTAATTCATGAAGACATGTATCATGTATGGTTCTTTTTTTTTTGTCATGGGAGACTCTTAATCTAGTACTTTTCTATCTTCAATGTTCTACTTATTGTTTGAGTATATTGGTTGAACACTTGGAATCTAGGGAATTATATAATTATTTATGTTCTTTGAAAAATATGTTATATCTAATAATGTATGGCTAGTAAATTTTAAGCCCTTATATTAGTTAGCCCGGGGCGGAGCCCGTTTCTGGATCCGCCACTGAATAAGCATAAATGCTTTAAATTGTCTTAGGTCGTGATTGGTTCCGTGGGGAACTCATCCTGGCTCGTATGTGCCAGCCAGTCTCCCCTCCATCTTGCTGAAACCATACAAGAGGCCGTCATTCGGTTGGTCACATGCTCGAGCCAACATACACTGAGCTACCAGTCTCCCGTCCATTTGGCTGAGACCATGCAAAGAGGTCATCATTCCGGCTGAGACCATGTAAAGAGGCCGTCGTTTGGTTGGTCACATGTACCGAGCCAGCATACACTAAGCTGGTGTTTGGACAAATCAAGCAGCGGCATGAGTGAGGGAGCAGGGGGGGCACGATTACAGGCGTCAAGAGAGCACGCCACGGCCTGCGCGAGCCAAGCTTCAGAAAAATGGATTGTCAGGGCGCCTAGGGACGCCACGCCGAGGCTGCGGCCGCGCCGAAAGTCGCGCGCTGAAATTGTTCGCCGAACTTTTGGCGACCTATGGCGCAAAAAATGACTTGCATGCTATTAGGAGACTGCGGTGACGCCGTAACTGTCAGAATCAGTCAAACACTCGCCGAATGCGCAGCGTGGAGGTGTGGCATGTTTTGGAGTGGTTGCCTAACAACCAAACGCGCTTCTAGAGAGCTGATTATTACTGGTGTCCGTAGAGCACGCGGCTTGCGCGAGCCAGGCTCAAAAACGGATTCGAGATTGATTTCTAACAAGCGAGGCTCAGGGATGGCTTTTGCATGACGAGGGCCAGTCCCGACCATCGGTCCAGCCATCCAAACATCGACTGGTTGCATCCGCTGAGCCAGGTTTGGCTGGAGTCAGGTAACAAATAGCGCCCTTAGCGTCTGCTCAGACAAGCTAAGTGAAAGGGATAAAGTGGATGCTGCCCCCGAAAGAAGCAATACTACTAACTACCCTTAGCACCCAAATCAAGGGGCAATAGACATACACTCTACGAGCATAGTACAATTTCAAATTTAACAAATATATTGGTAAAAATGAATGAGAAAAGAGAAGGCTGCATCAGAATCTGCGTAAGTTCCAAACCGCTTCCTTTATCTTATAGATCCAAAATATTTACAAAAAAAAGGCTTCGAATGTTCTTCAGAATGCAATGCAGGACTCAAGCATCCAAATACGACCGAATTAGAGGAAAAAAAGCATAAACCACTTGTTCTGAGCTTAGACGTAGGCTCATTGGCAGCACTTCCAATGTCTCCCAAAATTTCTTCCTCCCTTTCTCCATCCACGCGGTGTCTCAGACTCGTGATTCTCCTTTTCGACTTATCTCAATGTGATGGTGAAACATTACATAAGTCGATAACAATTGGATTGTGAACTTATGGTGTATCCTTGAACGCCATATCTGATGGTGCCAGTCACATCAAATTGTGTCTAGGGGTTTGTCTGCTGAATGGACTTCTCCCCACGAATAATCTGTATACAAACACAAAGGTAAAAATGAGACATAAAAAAATATAACAAACAGGCAATTTAATTTAAGTACCACATGACCATAGCTTTATGCAAACAGAAAGTTCCGTTCCAGTTTTACATGTTTCAGTGAGCTATGTCAAATGCAGTAACAGAATTTACAGTCATGATTGCTATATGAACATAGAGACTAAGAAATTTTGCATACAAATTTGCCAGGTTCGGAGTTTTTGTAGATAATGAGTGCATCCCCTGCCTGAAGGCCATGTGTCTTCACGAATTCACCTAACAAAGAAAATTGAAATGGTTTAATCTATCAATGTCTGGATAACAAGGAGGCTAGGAAACATTTGAAACTGTATCCGGATTCCACATCGAGGCATACCTGCAGCTTCCAGAATATACATTCTGCTTTTGTTGTTTGGCCAAAATCTGAAAAAGCAAAGTGTAAATGTCAGAAAGCATTTGAGTTTAGCAACAGTAAGATGCACCAGTTTTTGCATACTGTGGCAACTACTTTTCATGACCTTCAACTTTAAGAACATGGCAACACTTAAGAGAGAAATCAATTTATACAAATGCCTTCAACTTCCTGGCTTTTCGCAGGAAAGACGTTACGATTACGACCTCCCGGTAGGCCATTATCATTACAACAACAACAACAACAACAACAAAGCCTTTAAGTCCCAAACAAGTTGAGGTAGGCTAGAGTTGAAACACAGCAGTAGCAATCAAGGTTCAGGCATGTGAATAGCTGTTTTCCAAGCACTAGGCCATTATCATTCAGCAATATATTTTGCTTCCGTTTCCTTTTTCAGATGTGGCATTTCAAAGATGTCATAAGGTACTCTGAGAGTATACCTATACTTAAATTTCCATATAATCGGAAGCACCATGTCATCCATCTGCAGTATCAGAGGATCCCCTTGCACCAATGGTGGAAGACCAGCCTCAGCATCCTTCTGCAGAAGATTAAGCAGACAGTTACATTACAAAACATAGTTGACAAAGTGCCCTGACTCTCCAGAATAATAGGATAGACAATGTCAAGTGATAGAATATACCTTGGGAAGCACAATTCGCCCGGAATTTGCGACATCACTCTTTGTCAACTCCTTGCGTAAAATGACTTGGTACTCTCCAGAGTTGAACTTCTGAAAGTCATGTGTGTCCCATGCACACAGTGACAAAGGAAGGAAAATAACTTGTTAAATCCGAGAGAAGTATTTGTCTAACTACTGTAGCATGACCAAGTAACTAGAACTATGTCAACCGAATTCAAACCATTTATTCTTTTTCCGATGAACTTATCAAATGTAGATTCGACATAACATAAGCGAAGAATATGCGCAATAAAAGAAAGGACATGGAGTGTGTGTTAGATGTATCACGTTACTCACGGAAGCGCAACTATCATGGCTCTGCTTCGACTCAGGAAGAGTGCCAACTGTGTCGCGATGAACTTCGCCACTGTTTCTAGTGTCCATTTCATCACTGCTTCTAACTACTGCAGGCAAATCCTGTGTATCACACATCAGAGCAGAAGTAAAAATTAGGAAGGGTAATGAAATCAATAAAGTTTATCATAACCCTGAAGGTTCATATCTATCTATACCTCTGAATTCTCAGGTTCTTTGGCAGATATAGATCCTTCCATGGGTGTCATGTGGGCACAAATATTTGGTCCAAGGGACATTGTAGTGAAAGAGTCAAACCCAAGGCTGGATGCACAACCTGTTGTTTCCAAAGAATATGAAGAATTTAGCTGAGGCGGAGGAGGGATTGTGAAAGATTGGTTCTGCATCAGAGGATAACAATCGGACATGCTGACTGTTGCAACGCACCATATTATTTGGCCCATGCTTAAATCAATGTGGATATCGGTTAATGCTACATTGGATTCTAATATATGTACCATGCAACCACATATAACGGTATTATGATACACAAATGAACTGCCGGCTTACATTACATGCTTGAAGGCCAGAAGGACATTAAAAACAAAGAAGAAGACAAAATCAAACTTCCTAGTTGCAGCAAGCTACAGCTATGCCTGTGAACCTGAAAGGAATGAAAAGAAAGCAAAGCATATTTTTGCTCTAAGTATGTGAAAGGACTGTATCTATATATTTTACATGGTCCCATGAGTGTTTTTCGTTTTCGATCAAATTTAAGCACAGTGATATATATAAGTTAAGAAAGGGAATTTGCAGTAGGAGAGTGATGGAAAGCAGGAGATGTACCTGAATCCTTATCCGGGATGTGAGTATGGCGCAATGGGTGGGGATTCTCCTCCAGGATGTGGGTATGGCGCAATGGGTTGGGATTCTCCTCATGTTGTGTAGGGTAAGTAGAGCAGGATACATTCTTGTTAAGCATGAAATGGGTCCACAGGGCATAAGGCTGGGAGAGGTTGTAATGGAAGGGTGTATTGGTGGTAGCAGGGGCGGGCTGTGCGGCAACAGCGGCGAAGGCACTGTTGGACGGGCTCCAATCGGTGAAACCTCTTGGAGGCTGAGAGTGGGGAGCGGCATTGACATTGTGTGTGGAGGAGGCATCAGCATCAGCTCCAGGTCCTGGTCCTGGTCCTGCAGCATAGGGTTTGGGGTGAGCAACAAGAATTGGAATCATTTGTATGCAGAAAACAACAGGATTAACTGATGGAAGTAAGAGCTGTACATTCAGTGGATTAGGCTTAGATTCTGATATTACTCTACTCTACCTACTGTAATAAATTATAGATCAGCAGCAGCAGTGGACGGTGGTGGTGGAACAGAAATTGTCCCGTGCAAAATTAAGCACCAGTGTGGTGTGTGGCCGGGATTGCGAAATTGAATGGTACTGTATCTACCTATATATTTATTCCAGGTGCCCTCCCTCTGTCCCTAATCCATCCAAACACCCGTCCATATTATACATCCGGTGAGGAAGGAAGGGAAATGGAGGAGAATGCGGAGGGAGGGAAGAAGAGAGAGTGACTGACCGGCGGCGGGCGCTCCTGCTCCCTCTCCCGCGTGGAGAGGCAGGTGGAAGGGAAGGGGAAAGGGGTGCAGGCCCTGGCTGGGGTTCTGCACGGCGGCGAGGAGCGCCTGGTAGTGGTACTGGTGGTGCGGGCCCCCGCCGCAGCCGTCGCCGTCGCCGTCGGCTCCTCCCATCTGCCCCATTACCCCCCTGATTCTGGGCTCCGGGAGGGCAAAGGGAGGGAGGGAGGGAGAGGAGGGGGAGGATGCGAGGTGGAGATGGGAATGGTGGGAACGGATGGATGTGGTCGTCCGCAACCCACTCACTGAGCTAGTCACGAGCTGCTCTCTTCCTCCTCCCTCCTCATCTACCCGTCCCGTCCCGTCTCGACCTGGGCTAGCAGCCTAGCACTCTACTCCTACCAGGCAGCAGCAGCTGCACACACTCTCTCTCGACGGAGGGAGGGAGGCTACTACGTGGGCAAGAAGGGGAAAGGGCCAGAGTGCCAGACGCCCCTCCTCCGCTCCCTCTCTCTCTCCCCTCTTTCTCTCTCTATCCACTTCACCCCACCCCCACCGCACCCACCTGCAGCGCTGCCTGCTGCAGAGTGGTGCAGCGCAGCACAGGACCGGACGGACCGCTGGTCCTGCAATGGCTCTTGCTACTGCTGCCCCCGTTCTCTTCTCTCTCTACACGCGCACTGATGCTGAAGCCTCCTTTCCTTGCTTTTCTTTTTCTCCTCCGACTTTCGTCTCTTCGATCGGCAGAAAAAAAAGGGAAGGAACGAAAATATCCTGCCAGGATTTGCACCCATTATCACCATCCATTTTTTCACGCCTTCAATTACAGTATTTATTTATCTCTCCCTTCATTCTTTCCCCAAATTTTATACCATTGTTTATTATTGGACTAGTCATTCGGACCCAAATTTTCATTTATAAATGAAGTATTTTTAGCCTGTTGGTTTTGTCGTATTTGGTTTATAAGTGATGTCTTATCAGTCAATGAACAATATTTTTCTTTCATACCAAACCAATCAACAGTACTTCCAATCATAACTTATAAGCCAAACAAACCCAAATGAATAGGGGCTTTATCATTATAGGAAGTTTCAAATACTTTTATCTTTTTCTAAAAGTATATGATGCTAGTAATAAAGTGTATTCTGCTATAGCATCTCTAATCTCCTACAACTAAAAAGAATAAAGTGTGAATATTTTTTTTGTGCGACATTTGTTTTGGTTCGTCCGTCTGTCCACGCCTGTGATCCCACGACATCATAATTACTGATTGATCGTGCCATTTTTCTTGATTGAATATTGTCTGTCATGTGATAGAGGAATCACGGTAAAATAGAAAGTAGAAAATTATTGTGCTATCCATATACACATTGCATATTTACATGCACCAGCATAGATGGCAACGAGCAAAAGGAAAGAGAATTAACATAGAAGGAAAGAGAATTAAGACAAAAGAAACATCTTTGCATTTCAGAGAACCTTGTCAAATTTGCTTACATTTAATTACTTTTCCTCTTTGCAATTGCAAAAGGGACAGCTTTTTCCTTTTTTCATTTGGTTTTACGCTCACGTGTTCCATCGTCCTCGCTCGTTGTTTCTTGCGTGAACCATAGTTAATGTCATCTGTCTTCCATGGCTCAGCCTCCTAATTCCAAGAGAAGGTCCCTACCTCTCCCTGACTGGAGATCCGGCCTGCCAGAGGATCTTCTCGAGTCCATCGGGCAGTGTCTCGCGTCAGACCACGACGCGGCGTCCTTCCGATCCGCTTGCTCCCTATGGCGCGCCGCCGTCCCGTTCGCGACCTTCGGGCCGCTCCTGCTGCTCCCGTTCGACCCCGACTCGGACCGCGTCGGCTTCTATTGCGTCCCGGAGAAGAAAGTCTTATCCAAGACGTTGCCCGACGTGCGCGGCAAGGTGGCGTGCGGCTCCTCGTGTGGGTGGCTGGCGCTCATGGACGAAGCAGCGTCCGTGATGCTGCTGAATCCATTCGTCGGTGCCCGTGCCCCCGTGTTGAGCTCCCGCCAGCAGGCGAACACGTCACGGCAGCGTCATCATCGGAACGCGTGCTAGGGTCCACGACCGGTGGGTCCTCTATCCCACCAATGGCTACGGGGACGCGAATGCCGCAGGCAGAGCCATCAAGCTAGAAGACATAAGGGACGTGTTCTTCCGTGAGATCGTGCTCTCGGCACCGCCTGACGCCACCGATCGTGAGTGCGTGGCCATGACCATGCTTGGGTGCTCCACAGAGGTCGCGTTCTGCCGGGTTGGAGTCGACAGCGCATGAACACTGCTCGACACCAAACTGGAGTTCTTCGTGGGGGTCCATCGTCCACTGCCAAGACAAGTTCTTGGCGATCGACTGCACTGGAGAAATCTCCGTCTGCAGCAGCAACGCCGCCTACGCTACTCCAACCGTGACGCTGCTGCCATCGTTGTCGCCACCTGCGGGGCTCTGCCACCGCAGCTACCTGGAATCAAACGGTGAGCTGCACATTATGGGTGCCATGGTGAGCACGTTCCACGAGACATAGAGCTTCACCTACAGTAGCGCGGTCTACAAGTGCAACCTCCACGACCGTACGCCGGAGTGGTCTAGGGTGAGGGACATCGGTGATCAGACACTGTTCGTGTCTAAACATTTCAATGAAGGCTTCAGTGGAACAAGTGTATTCAAGTACAAGGAGAATAAAATCTACATATCTAAACCATTATATGGGGATCCATACGACTTGGTCCATCGACTGGAGATCGTTGATATTGCTACCGCCCATCCGAAATGAAGCCTGTCTAGGAAAAGATGCAGGGCTCCGAGGCTCTAGGTTGGATTCGACCCAATCTCTGGAAGCTCTAGAGTTTGTGAGCCTACGACGCCGCGCACTCCATGACTATGTTAAATTCATAAACTTTGCCTTTTGGATTAAATGTCACTTTAACGTTGTTATTTAATTTAACAGTATTGTTATCTTATCGTGCGATCCGTGTGTTTTTAGTATAAATTGTTAGTTATCCCGTAGCAACGCACGGGCACGCTACCTAGTAGTTTAAAAAAGGGACAACTGTCTGGCGAACATCCAAAGCGATGGTCGTTTACTGGCAGACACCTTGTTTTGAGCAGTTTGTCAGAAAACACTCTGATTCGGTGAAATTAGGCCACAGGACACCGCGGACCGGTTATAGCCGATTGAGGAGAGAGAACAACGATGAAATGACATTCTTGCCCCTGCCGCTTTCTTCTTCCTCTCTCCCTTTCTTTTTTTTTTTTTTCTGTCCGCCACAAGGGACATGCCTGCCTAGGCTCGGCCACCTGAAGGGTCGAGATGGCGGACTAGAGGGGGGGTGAATAGTCTTTTCTAAAATTAATCGCGTCGGCTAACCGATATAAATGCGGAATTAAAACAATCGGTCTAGCCAAGACTATACCCCTCTATATATGTTCACTAGCACCTTGCAAAGATACTAATAAAGCAACTAAGGTGCCGGGCTAGCTAGAGCTCTCCTAAACAATTCTAGAAGCAATGTCACACAAACCTATGCCACTAGTACTTTAAGTAACAAGGGAGCTTCTACACATGCTAGTAAGCAAAAGCACAAAGCTAACTAAGCTCACTAGCAATGCTCAATAACAAGGCAACCAATGCCTAATTAGAGAGCGCAAATACTTAGCTACACAAACTAAGCAATGTGACTAACAAGGTTACTAAAACCAAATTAGCCATGCAAGGAAGCTACTTCTATGCTACACAAGCAAGAAGGTAATTAGCTAGCTACACAAGCTATCTAATTACAAGAGCAACTACACAAGCTTAAGATATATATATAAGTAATTGCAAGCTTGTGTAATGGGAATGCAAACCAACGGGAAGAACAAGGTTGACACGATGATTTTTCTCCCGAGGTTCACGTGTTTGCCAACACGCTAGTCCCCGCTAGTCGACTGCTTCACTTGGTGGTTCGGCTACTAATTAGCATCACCCGCTAAGCCCGCACGTCGGGCACCGCAAGAACCTACCCCTTGAGTGAGGGTAGCTCAATGACACGCTTTACTAAAGTTGCTCTTCAGCGACTCCATGGGCGAGCACAAGTACCCCTCACAAGCACTTCTCCTGAGAGTGCCGCACAAGCTTCTTGCGGGCTTCGACGAAGACCACCACCAAGCCGTCTAGGAGGTGGCAACCTCTAAGAGTAACAAGCACCACCGGCTTGCAACACGACCACCTAGTGCCACTCGATGCAACCTCACGATGCAATCGCACTAGAATCACTCACACAATCGAATGATCACTATCAAGTATATGTGTGATGGAGGGCTCCCAAGCACTCACAAGCATGGACACTAAGTCCCCTTAGGTGCTCAAATTTCCGACCATGGCCGAGGGCCACTTCTATTTATAGCCCAAGGGCTAAACTAGCCGCTACCCCTTCATCGGGCAACGGTCGGGCCGACCGGACGCTTCCTGGTCGTGTTGACCGGACGACCTGGACCTCGGCGTCCGGTCACCCGCAGACGGCCATGTGTCCTGTTCCAACGGTCACTTGACTTGACCGGACGCGTGAGCTTTCAATCGACCGGACGCAGAACCCCCAGTCGTCGTTTCGATAAGTATCGACTTCGACCGGAAGCGTCCGGTCACACATTTGATCGGACGCGGCGTCCCGGTCACACTCCAGCTTCATCATCATCGACGTCACCGACCGGACGCAGCTGCCCAAATAGTCCGGTGCATTCAGATCTAGCGTCCGGTCAGTTGACCGACGCCAGCATCTTCGCGACTAACTCGTTTTCACTTCTAACTTCATCACCCTTGCTCCAATGTGCTAACCACAAGAACTTGCATCCGGCGCAATAGAAAATAGGCATTCTATTTTCCCGAAAGCGCCGAATCCGGACCCAAACCCATCTCACCCCTACAAACACCACCTCCTTTGTAAATGTGCCAACACCACCATGTGTATGTGTGTTAGCATTTTCACAATCATTTCCCAAAGGATGTTAGCCACTCAACTTGCCACGCCACTCGATCCTAGCGACAATGCAAAGTTAGATCACTCGAGTGGCACTAGATGACCGATATGCAAACAAGTTTGCCCCTCTTGATAGTACGACCATCTATCCTAAACCCGATCATAAACTTATCTACACACCTATGACCGGTGAAATGAAATGCCCTAGGTTATACCTTTGCCTTGCGCATTCTATTCCATCTCCTTCAATGTCGATGCAACACATGGACCAACACGATCAACAATGATATGATCCACTTCATATCATCACATGATCATATTGGTTCATCGATCTTGACTCTACTTGCTCTTCACCGTTGCTATCGTCCATCGGCGCCAAGTCTTGCTCAAGCTTCACCGCCACGCGGTCCATCACTCCAAAGCCTTTGACTTGCCCTTCACGCTTGCAACCAGTCCATCAAGCCAAGTCTTGTCTTGATCTTCTCCACCTTGATCACATGACTCAATGTCATGTCTCATGTGCAATAAGCTCCTTCATCATCACATGTGTGAGCTTTGCAACATCTCCAAGCCATTTTCACCTCCATGGCATATGTTGCTCATACACATGTACCTGTGGACTAATCACCTGTGTATCTCACATAAACACAATTAGTCCACCTAGGTTGTCACTCAATTACCAAAACCAACAAGGACCTTTCACCACCTCCACACCGTCTCGCTGCTCTCCTCCACCGTCGCCTCGCTCTCCCAGCTCGTCGCCGATGCATGCCTCCTCACCTCCGCGCCTGCGTCGGCCCCATCCTCCTCCTCCATCGCCTCCTGTTCCGCCGCGGAAGATGCGCCCGCCTCCCGGCTACGCCTGGGCCTCCGCGGTGGAGGAGCTGGCGAGCACCGCGCCCGCGCAGTCGGAGCCCTCCGTGGTCGCGGCCGTCTCCGCAGTGGCGGCGCTGCTCGACTCTGCCTCCGCGCGCAGCGCTACGCTGCTCCCGCTGACGGCGTCGTCGTGGACCTGCTTGAGGAGGAAGGGAGCTGGCGCCCGCTGAGAGACTGCTCTGGCTCCGTCGACCGCCCGTCGGGTGATGCGGGGCCAATGCCAAGGCAGAGGGAGGTGGACGTTGACGCCATGCGGTGCAAAGAAGGGCCGCAGCCGTGGGCGTCGTCGGGTGGTCTTGGTGTGGCGGGGACCTTCAGTGGGCCCGCACCGCATTTGCGGATCTAGGGCGGGTCAGGGGTGAGGGAGGAGGGTCGCCGGGGCCTAGACTCGCGCCGGCGCGCCACCGTCGAGGGCGCTGTCGCCCTGCGCCCGCTGCCGCCTCGGGAGAGATGGAGGGGTGCGCGACGCTGTGGGGCAGAGCCGCAGAGAGGGGAGGGGAGCGGGAGAGGAGTCGTTGAGTCACGTTGGGGAGGGCACCGGATGTGAAAAACAAAATTTTCTCTCTCAACCAGTTGCGACCGATCCGCGGTGTCCTGTGGCCTAATTTCACCGAACCAGAGTGTCTTCTGGCAAACTGCTCAAAATGGGGTGTCCGTCGACAAACGACCATCACTTTAGATGTCCGCCAGACAATTATCCCTTTAAAAAACACAATTATTAAATCAATGAGTTTTCCAAATGGCTAAAAAAGTTGAGAGGTCATATTTGTTGGTTTTCTCCAACGATTTCCAAAATCTCCTTCTAAAATATAGAATACAATTTTACATTAGGTATACCGGACTATTTTAAATCAACTAGTAGCTTTAAATTTTTTTTCTTCTGTTTTATATTTGCATTAGGAAGCATATCCTACTCTTTATTCTTTCCCACGTTCTTACATTCAGGCGTGTATATATTTTCGTGCAATTGGGTCAATTTTTCGAGTGCAAAAGATTGAGAGTTGAGATAGAGTTGTTCGAGAGTAGTTTTTTCAATTTTGCTAAAAAGCAAAAATTGGGGGTGGGTTTTCGAAACTCTTGAAGATGCTCATACACCTAATCAAAAGGAAGTCTTAGACATTTTTATTTTTTTTCTACAAACAAATTAAAAATGCAGCAGTATTTCTGCTGATGCCACCTAAACTGGAACGAAGGATAGTATATTATAAAAATCATTATTATTATTTTATAATTTACAAGTATGTGTGTATATAAATCTACACTTACAATCGAATTATTTGCAAACTACATAATACAAAAGTTATTGATATCTTAGGTTTTTAAGGTATGACCAAATTGTGTCATAAATAATATGCTTTTGTGACTGGATGGGGTATTTTAGACATAAAGTAAATTTTTGTTTTCCTATAGTAGTCAATCTTGAAATAACAAAATGCACCGACCATGGCATTACAATTTACAAGTTGATATATTGTGAAGTATAAATAATAAATAAACCATCAAAATATCTTTCATATAAGTAATTTTTATTGAGGATAGCGTCCTAATTCAAGATCTTAGCATTATCTAAACTAGTTACTACCCTGCAGTAAACATAGAGCTAAAATTGAGGTAGTGAAAACCTTCCATAAGATTATAACAAGGTCTTGTGTACTGTGTCTGCCATCAAGTGCTTCATAGCGCAGCCCTCATCAATATTTTCTGGGGTTACGAAATTTCTTTTGCAAGGATGTTAGACTAGGAGAATTAAATGTTTTGATAACATGTTTGTGAAATGCTGATTTGGAGCTACTGTATTGTTTGTTTGTTGCTAATGCTAATGTAACTAGGCAACGGTGCTACTAGTAGCACCCTTAACATGTTGGATTAAGGTACTCAGATTGGTATGCACTTGCAACTCATCAGTTAAGACTAATGTCAAATGCAAATCCAGCTCAAATTCAAAGAGATTGCCCAGCCAGAGAGCAGCAGATCAACCACTTTGCTTTTTTTTTCATCCACTCAGAAACAAAGCAACATGAGCCATGACCTTCAAATCTAGGGGCTGGAGCAATGAAGCTACAACCACCATGGTCAGGGGCAGGGATACAGATACAATTAGCCAACTAGCCATGAATGTAATATAGAAATCCAGAAAAGAATCTAAGCATTGAGCACGTGTTGGATAGAGATGGAAGCAGACAGAACTGCATCGTAGAATAGTTCATTCATGTAGCAAAATTTTTAGCTAGCAATGCTTCTGATTTCATTCAGATAATGGATAGTCACGACTGCAAGGTACTGAAATCAACACGCCACACATTCACTACACTACACTAGTTATGCTACGACTAGAATCCAATCCATCCGATCCCCTTTCCCTCTCGCATGGCTTGAAACAAGTGACATTTCTAGCAAGACACATCTGCCAGCCATTTACAGAAATGGACAAGAACAGCTTGCCTCGCACATCTACATGTCATCATCCAACTCGTTCTGCTCATCCTCGTCTTCCTGGTTGCCGATGTCATCCTCATCCTCGTCAAGAACCTTGCGCCTGATGCGCTTCTTTGCTGGCTGGTCCACCTCCTGCTCCCCATCCTTGTCATCTGTCTTGGCTTTCTCCTTGGCAACATTGGTCTCCTGCATCACAAGTCGAACACCGAATCAGGAAAATACACTTCAGATAGCAGTACCAGGCTGAAACACATGATCATGTCCAGCAAGGGAGGGGAAGGCAGAGAAGAGAAGAGAAGATGGACTTACACCACTTCCCTCGCCATTCTCGGCTTGAGCCTTGAGCTCCGCGGCCCTTTCAATGTAAGGCTTCTTCTCCTGATCCAGAAAAATGAACAGAGCATGAATGATGAGCAAGAGTTGGAACACCAAAGACACTCTATCAAGGAATTCAGGTTCAGAACAGAGAAGAGAAACAGAGTAGGACTGACCTCGTCTGTCATGGACTTCCACTTCTCCCCTGCTTCCTTTGCAGCCTTCAATCAACAGGTAGATAGATTGATTGATTGATTCATTCATTCATTCAATAAGATTTGCAGAGCAACAACTGAAAGACGAAATTGGGTGGGATGAAGGAAAAAATGGAATGCAGGGCATAGAGAAAAGCACATACGGTGGCGACACTCTTGTTGTCAGGATGGGCGGCCTTGAACTCCTTCCTGAAGTCGTTCCTGAAATAAATCGACATGGGATTGTCATCCACAGGTACTCTAACTGTAGCAAGAGGGAGGAAGAACGACGTGCGTGCGTCGCAATCGCATTGCATACATGAAGAGGAAGAAGGCGGTGGGCGAGCGCTTGCGCTTGGCATCCTTGTTGCCGCCGCCTCCCTTGGCAGAGGACTTCTTGCGGTCGGCGGCCTTGGCGACCTCGACGGTCTTCTCAACGACCTGCGCCTCGAGCGTCATCCTGATCTTGTTGTCGAGGCTGCAGCTGTGCATGTCGATGAGGACGACGGGGACATCCTTGTTGCAGGCCTCGCTGCATGGGTTGGGACGGGAAGGGAAGGGATTCGTTCTCGTCAGAATCAGGTAGCGACTAGCGAGCGAGCAGGGTGAGGAAGAAATGGAGAAGGTAAAGTTACCATCTGGTGAAGGCGCTCCCGTCCCTGGAGCGCTTGAGGACGGTGGCCTCGACGCGCTTCCTGCTGCGCGCGGCGTTGCCGCTGGACTTGCCTCCCGCCATGGATGGATGCTCAGCTTGCTTGGGGACTTGGTGGCTTGGGCGGCGATAGCGATTGCGATTGCGATTGCTGTGCAGGCAGGGAGATCGGAGTAATAAAGGCAGAGGCGGAGGCGGCAAAGGATTCGGCGGGCGGGGCGTGCAGGCGCGCGCTCGCGCGGGGCAGCCCAAATCACAGTGAATTGCAGGCGGCGGCGGCGGCGGCGGGCGGGGGGAAATGCCCCAAAGCAAAGCAAATTGCCGATCCAAAATGGGAATTGGGAATCCACAGCACTTGGCGGCCAATCAAAAGCGGGAAGCCCAGATCGGACGGTCCAGATGAGAGAGGCTTCTTCATCTTGGCGCCAACCAAAGTTGCCGTCCCGCTCTTTTTTAGTTACTCTCCCTCTCCCTCCTCACCCAGATCCAAATCAAACATGTCTCCCGCTCATTAATTAAAAAAAAATGTCTCCCGCGCCCGCTGCTCCTCTGCCTTGCCAGGTCCAGTGTCGATAGACACGACACGACCACCTGTCCTGTGCCTGCTTATTCGTACAACTTGGCACAATCCAATTCAACACGCTGTCTTTTTTTTAACCAGGCCTCGTTTCGAAATAGTATTTGACACTTTAGCACTTTCGTTTGTATTTGATAATTATTGTCCAATCATGATTTAACTAGGCTCAAAAGATTCGTCTCATAATTTACAATCAAACTATAATTAGTTATTTTTTTTATCTATATTTAATACTCCATACATGTGTTCAAAGATTTGATGTGATGGAGAGAGAGTGAAAAAACTTGATCTAAACAAGGCCCCATTAGGATATTGAAAAACCGGCGCATTTTTTCTTGCACTTACTTATAATCCACCAACGCTACAATTTTGTGTATCTACACCTCTAGAGTTAATTATTGTTAAGGTATCCCGACCTATATATAAACTAATAATGATAAAAATTTCGCATTGTGTTTTTAAATGTTCGTCTCACCTCTTATAAACACTTGAAAATCACCTTATATGTAGACAGGATAAAAAAAAAAAAATCTTACTAAGATAGGTGTAGTACATCGGACCGACGAAAAATTAGTTCCATAAAGTAAATTGAACAAAAAATGATCAGTTTAGGAGGTTATCTAAGTGTAATGCCTTAATTCACGTGGTAATTTGAACTTTTCCTTTCTTGTATATTTGATTGTGTCTATCATACTTTGCACAATCAGTTTTTTTTCCAAGCCGCATGCTCTTCTTTACGTGAGGCCTGCTAGTTAAGCCTGGGCACATTACCTGTTTCCCATTACCCAAACCCGAAATACCCAAACCCGGATCCGAAATACCCGATCACTAATTCGAAAATCAACTTTGGAAACCCAAAATTATTTTGGGTACTTCGGGTTATATGCCACCCGAACTACCCATATAACCCGAATTTTAAGTAAGGCCTTAGCATGAGACTATGGGCCTGTTTGCTTGGAGTAATTATGGAGGAATTTGGATGGTTTGGAGGAATGTTGGAAGAATTTGTGAGAGAAAAACACTGTTCCGGATGAAAAAAGAAGCGGATCAAGCCAGGTTTAAGGCACGCGAATAGGGCCTATCTAGTCTCACGGACTTCAAGCAAGCAATGACCGGACGCACGGACTTCACTGTTCATCGTCATGGCAACAACTCAGTGAGACCGAACGCAGCAGCTGTGGACGACCGGACGCGCCAAGCAGTGGCGTCCGATCAAGTCTAAAGAGGTTCCAGAACAGCGAAACGGCGATAGGACACGTCATATGGTAAGTGACCGGACTCGCCAGAGAGTCTGATCAACAGCGAGCGCCAACGGTCGGGACGACTGGACGCGTCCGATCAGTACGACCTGCGCGTCCGATCAATGTCAGAAAGCTAGGTTTCATCCCCAATTGCTACTTTCTCCATGGGACTTATAAATAGACCCCCAAATCAGCTATTTGAGGAGTGGAGAGTTGGGGCACTTTATGGAAGTTTGTCCAAACAAGCCCACACCCAAGACAAAGAAGAAGGCGTGCAAGGACAAAGCCCTCACATCAATAAGGTCATGGGATGATTCTTCAAGTGAAGAAGAAGACCATCACAAGAGGCGAGGCCACAAACACTCATCATCAAGCTCTTTTCGTGCGTGCCTTATGGCACGAGGTAATGAAAGCTCATCCTCTAGTGAGAGTGATAGTGATGATGAAATGCCTTCTCTTAATGAACTTGTCCAAGAAAATCTTAAATATGCTAAGGCTTGCACTAGCCAACAAAAGAAGCTAAAAATATTGTAAGAGAAGCTGGATAGTTTACAAGAAGCATATAAAACCTTGCTTGAACAATATAAGACATTTGTTAATCTCAATATTGAACTATCTACTAAAATTGAGCAACTTGAGGCTAGTGCAACAACAAATGCATGCACAATCAATGATGAGCAACTTGTAAAGAAAAATGAAAAATTAAAAGAAAAGTTAGCTAGCTCACAAGATGCTTATAAAAGTTTGCTTGCTAAAATGAAAACCATGTGCAAACATTGTGATGAACTAACTAATAAAGTTGCTAATCTTGAAGCCGTCGGTACAACCCTCACCAAGGCACCTAAAAAGAAAAGTTCTATCTTTGACATGCCTAAAAAGGATGCTTCTATTTCTTGCAATAATTTATGTTTAGACTCATCTTTGTGCAACCAAGTTTGTGTTGAGAAAACACAAGAGGTTGCAATGGAGAATGAGCAACTCAAGCAAAAAGTGGCTCGCCTTACTAAGAACTTGACTCAAGTAAAAGGCAAAATGGAGCAAGCCCAATATTATTAAGATAACACCGTTAAGGGAGTGAAGAAGCTTGATGAAGGACAAACCGTGGTTTGCTACATGTGCCACAAGGAAGGTCACAAGTCCTATGAGTGCAAGGTGAAGAATGGGGGAGGAGCTAAGAAGAAAAAGAAAAGAAAAAGAAAAAAACAAGCAAGCTCTCCAACACCTACACCAACAAGGTGGACAAAAAGGCCTCCACACCTTATCTCTTGAAGAAGAAGAAAAATGATAAGGTGGTGGCCATCAAGGTGAACAAGCAAGCCAACAATGGGGCCAAACACATTTGGGTGTCAAAGGAGATCATTTCTAATATGAAGAGCACTAAGAATGTTTGGATCCCAAAAGGGAAGTGAGAAGTTCGATGGACTTCGGAGAATTTAGAGACTTGGCAAATTATAGGTGCATTTCATGAGGTGCATCATTATGGACAAGGTAATTGCCAAGTGGGTTAGTGAATACTATGGACCCAAATTCTCCTTCCCATGTTATGTAACTAGATTTAATTTCTTGCAATTTTAATTTGCATCTAATTCCTTTTCATGCCTAGGTTTGCATTTACATGTTTAATTTTTTATCTTGCATACACTAGGTATATCTTATGGTAGGCTTGCTCGGTTTCACTCTTAACCCTTGGAGCAAACCTACATGGTTTAAATTATTTAGGAGCACGACACATAGCTTGTTTTACAATTGTTCATCTAATATGTGCCAAAGTCTAAATTGTAGATAATTTTTTTCGAATATCACTTTCAAAAATGATTCTCACATTCATGTGATATTATCTTTCAAGTCGTATTTTTTATTCTAAAATCAATGTGCATGTCTCCTACAAGTATTCCACACTTGTGTGCATAAATTTAGGAGGAGGTTACTCTACAAGTTGGATGCTTTGAGACTAACACCTTTTCAAGCTTATCATGTGTGTAGTAGTCTCATTGCAAGGAAAATGAAGTCCTCGGAGTTAAGCATCATACTTCAAATATCCACCACCTATTGCAAGTGGTATAAATCAAATTGGTTTCCACATGTGGTATTTCTAAACTGATATCATCATATTGATTTCACTTTGGTATTTATATGCTTTCTCCATGCATTATATAGATTAAACTCCCTTGAGCATTAATTTGCCAATTATGCATAAACTACATTCTCCATCATATGTATGCATATATTTAGGGGGAGCTTAGTCTATGTAATGTGAGAGTCAAATTTTGTGACCTATTCCACTCCACATACAAAGGATCATAAAGTTTGACCATCCCTTGTGCTACTAATGTCTTCCTTTTCGGTGTTTGATTCTAAAGGGGAGAATTTGTAGGACCAAAAGCAAGCCCGATCATAATAATTTACGAGTGGTATTGGTCCGAGAAAGGGATGATAGTGGATTATGGAGTTAGGGGAGGCTTAAATCCATAATGCCACATGGGAACATTTGCAAGGGCAAGATAAGTTTCCAAAGATATTTACATGTGGTATCTTATAGCATCATATAAACTTGCCCTTTGCATTGCATCCTAACAAGTAAATAGTTTTTAAATTCCAAAATTTTTATTATTTGCTTGCTTTGGTCGTGTTGTCATCAATCACCAAAAGGGGGAGATTGTAAGGAAAATGGACCCTAGGCCCATTTATTTTGGATTTTGGTGTTTGATGACCAACACAACCAAATTGGACTAATTAATTTGCAAGTAATTATTTTGTAGTTCAATAGGGTGCAAGACGTGACTTGGACGAAGGCGACATGATGATCCCATAATCAACACCATAATTAAGACCCTAGAAGCACAAGAGAAGACCCAAGATATCAAGCAAAGTCCAAACACGAAGATGGGAATAAAGCCGGACGCAAGATCGCGAAGAAACGAGCTCAGCAGAGGTGATCGGACGTAGCCCTATGAGGATCGGACGTGTCCGATCAGTTGCTCGGCAACAGCAGGCGTCAGCAGCAGTGACCGAACTCTGAGTGAGGCAGTGACCGGACGCACGGACTTCACTGATCATCGTTGCGGCAACAACTCAGTGAGAACCGGATGCAGCAGCTGTGGACGACCGGACGTGCCAGGCAGTGGCGTCCGATTGAGTCCAAAGAGGTTCCAGAACAGCGAAACGTCGACCAGACGTGTCAGATGGTAAGCGGCCGGACTCGCCAAAAAGTCCGATCAACATTGAGCGGCAACTATCAGGATGACCGGACGCGTCCGATCAGGACG